TGGAATAAACTTGCTTATCAGCCTCAACGGCAGTTTTAGGTGGCGTCCGTTAGTACTGTTTAATTATGATTGGCTATCTTAGAATAAAAATCTAACAAAAACTCGGCAAAAAACGCCAAGTCAGCTATACATGCCGTAAACACGTCAATATAATTTTTTTAGTGTAAAACATGCGCCTGAATATAATTACATAAGTAGAAAGCAATTTACCCGTTTTCAAATTTATACTTTTGCAAAAAATTAAAAAAAATATCTGTTATTTTTTTAACCTGATACTGATTAAAATTCAGAACTTGATGTTTTATTAATGGAAAATAATCCACTTTGATCATTTTTCACACCAGAATTTAAGTATTCAATATAACGGGCAAAAATTAAGGGAATAAATAAATACACGCGTTTATAAAAATGTGCTGCTGACAAGCGATGAAATTTTTTAATATTTGACGCATTGAATTGTGAAAATTCCTCTGTATTTTTATCGCAGAATTAAATCTTCTGGTGGCAGAATATGAAATCCCTTTTTCACACAAAACGCGCATATTTTCACTATTTCACCCTCCATATCAAAAGGAGCGAAATTGGACGTGTCAGGGAAAAATGCGCTCAGCCAAACAGGAGGAAAAACGTCGGATTATGTGTGACAAAATGCAAGAAAGAGAGCGAGGGTATCAAAAACGTACGCGTAGGGATATGTGTGTGTTTGTGTACCCAGCGGAGCTATAGCGAGGGGCACGCATCGCATCTGCGACGGACGAGATTTTGACTCCGGCCTCCTGATTGAATAAACGGACCATGCTCTCTTGTGCGATATTATTTATCCTCTTCGTTATTCCTATATATGCGCAAGCTGTATATATAATAATCTGATGAAATGCTCTGGTACATAAAGCAAGCGCGGGTCAGTCATTTTATTGTGCATGACAGGATTAAATATACACGCAGGAAAAAATTAAAAGGAAACGAAAAAAATAAAACTTCTATTAGAATGTTTAAAATATAACTAAAAATAATTAACTTTAATCTTGTAAATTTGTTTTACATTTGAATTTTTGTTGTTTTACTCCATTTAAATTTTTATACAATCTTTTGTATAAGCTTTGTTTTTAAATATATTTTTAATTACTCTTTTTAGTAATTGACGCTTCATAACAAACAAATTTTGATAAAAAGATTTAAAAAAAGTTTTAAGTATATTAAAATATGATTAAATTGATAAATATATTATTGATTAAATAATATTAATAATTTCTGAATCTTACCTTGTATGATAAATAATATTTTGCAGATTATTTAAATAAATAAAATCAACAGAAATCAAGAACATACTCATAAAAAACACTACTTAGTAAATAGTTAATCACCAGTTATATCTGAAAGCGATTAGTTTATAAAATATATTTTTTTAATAAAAATTTCATTCATAAAAATAAACAATTATACAGCTAACAAAATTAAATGAGGGAAAATTATCTAGAAATTGCATCAATTTGCATCTTTTTCTATATAAATTGCAATTTTGCGTTCAGTTTGTTACCAATTGTTAATTTAAATTTTCTATTTTAATAATAAAAAATTAATAAAACCAGAATTTAACTATAATTTATAATATTAATTATATGCTTAGGTTTCACACCAAAACTATGTAAAATAAAACTTTCTAAGCTTAAAGATATTAAACTGTTTGCATCTTAAACTAAATTTCAAAACAAAATCTGTAAATCATAAAACAATCCAATTTAAAAATAACAAATGCCGATAAATTCCGAAAACCAATTTCAAATAAAGTAAGTGCTGCTTAAAATGGCAAAGCGCCGCGGGAATATCATCACAGTAAATCACGCACAAATTAACACCGTGTGCGCTCTTAAACTGCACTCTCAGCAGCTATAATTGAATTTTCCCTCTGACTGATTCCGCTTGATATTATTTTTCATCGCTGGCGGGTTGGGGTGGCGAGCATGGAAACATAAAGCACAACAGCGTAGCGCACAGAAATATAATGCGTTTTTTCCTCCGCGCACTCTCGTAATCTAATGGATGGGGGATAAAATCAAACTGCTGCTACTCTCACTCTTGAATAGAAAACACTAATACTTTTTTTTGTTTCCAAAGGCAATAATTATTAAACAAAGTGGCCAAGCTTTTTGCGCGCTGAATCGCAGCCAAGGAATGTAAATCTGCCGGTAGTTGATATAATTGCATTAATAAAAGTGTCGGCGCGGCTAGCGAAAAATTTATTACAGAGAAATCTTGCATGTAAAATAATACGCACAAATGTTGCCATTTTGGATCAAGTCCAATCAAAGGCAGCGCACATAATTTTCTCTCGCAAACTTTTAAGCACGATTTATTTTATGAGTCGGGCGTTAATGAAATCAACTTTTGATTCTGGCGTTTTTCAATAAAAGTTTTGAAATTGGCGCGAGAAAGGAGTAGAAAATTGGTCCAACTTTTCTTTATATGCATAGGGGGAATACATTTTCTGTGAAGTAATTCGCGCTGATAAATGATCCAGTTAAGATTTCCAGACACATATAACGCAAGATTTATAGCAGAGGAACGGCTTTATTGACTTTTGACAATAGCGCGAGAGCTCTATGGGGATGAAGCTGGGAAGAGAGAACGAAGCGGTGGCTGGAAAAGAATCGTCGTCGTTTTTTCGCTCTCTCTCCTTTTTCGTATTATTATTCATCGTTATAATATGAAAGGGAGAAACAATAAAACATTTTAGAGAAGGAGAGCGAGTAGGAATGTTACATCAATTGGAAAATCTATCGGCCTCATATTATTCATACTCAAACTTTCGATATAAATTATGTGTCGCGCACGTATAAACATGAAAAGTTGGCGCTCTTTCCGCGGCAGCTTCGATCCGCGGCACGTGAGTAATACCATTGAAAAAGAAGAAAGGGAGCTGCAAAGTATATAATGTAATCTAGATAATGTGATCTCTCAAACTGCCCTCCAAACGAGCGAGCCAAACTTGTTTTTAAAGGCAAATTCCGCACCATGAATCTGGGATATTTTCTGGCATCAAATCTTATTTTCCTCAATAAAAGTGAGCTAGAGAGGTGGGGAATGTTCCTTCCATCAAGTTATAGAAAAAGAGAGGAGAACAAAACTTTTTTGTTATTCCATTTGTGGAAGGAACACGATAAACTTTGACTTGATTACAAGAAGAATGTGAAAACACATTTCAAAAACATTAATGGGAAGGATATTTAAAGCTATTAAATTGCAGTTTTTGTTAACAGGGTCAGGGTTTTCGTGAATAAAATTAAAGTAAAGTTGGCTGATATTAAAGTATTAATGATCATAAACAATGTGCTCATGGTTTTCTGCTTTCAGTTTAACTTTTTAATTTACATGAAAAAAGATACAATATTTTTGCAAATCTTAAAATTTATTCATTTGGTGTAATGCAAAAACATTGAATTTACTGTTAAATTATATATAATTGGATTTACACTTTACAACACAAACAAAACACTATACTCTACACTAATTTGAACAGAAAAAACACACGCACACTAACAATTATCAGAGTACCTAAAAGAAATTTTAAAACAGTCGGTCTCTCTATGCATGCTCTCATTAAATTACTTCGCACGCAGCTGCTGTAAAAACATCAGTAAAATGGGACATTTTGGTCAAATACACAGCGGTCTATAAACAATTTGGAATTTTGCACAGTCGGTGCGCAGATTTCGGCGCCCATAAACTTTATGTTAAACATGTAAGTAACGACAGTTTGATGTTCAATTTTTATCCCATCAAATAGCCACAAAGTCCAGGGGAACACGTGCGCGTTATTGGCAAACTAAAGGCCAACTGTATCACCACAGGCATGGACCAACATCGCAGTTAGCTCACATAATAATAGCCCTGCGTTGTGTGCTGCGAGCGAGCGAGAGAGCGAAAAAGCTGCTGGCCGGGGCGGCCGCCGCGTGGGTGGGCGCTCGCAAGGGTGATGATATTGACAAAAGCGGCAGCTCCAACCCTTCTTATCACCACACGCAACGGTCGACAGAGAAATACACGGGGCTCGAAAAATGAGACAGTAAAGAACACGGCAGCATATGTGGCCCGACCAACTTTTAAAAAGTAGTTTTTAGTTAATTTTGCGGTGGTGATGAAAAGGGTCTTTGCCCAGTCTTTATGGCGTAAGTTAGTTTTGCGTTTAGAGTCCTTTGAAGGAAGTATAATTATTTTTAAAAAACCGTAAAAATTCGGGTTGAATATTAATACAAGATTTTTTATATTTTAGAAGGTATGCAACCGTTTCGTCCCTCATGTTGAGCAGTGAGCCTAACTTTACTAGATTTAGGAGATTTTATAATAATAGTGCAAGCTGATTGTTCCCCACTTGCTAACATTTATATCATTAAAATCTAAATAATTGGCGTTTTCTATTGGCTAATTTATTTGATAATGTTTAATTTCTTAATAAAATATGTATAAGGCTCCTTTTAAGAGCCTCCAGAGCTGCTTATAATTAAATTCACTCGACGGGCAGATTAATTCATAAATCTTGACGATAATGATGTTGCAGCCGCCGCTCTGTTTGTTGCCAGACCACACAGCGCTCGAATAAATAAAATCAAAGTCATGTTTTCTCCGCCGCGGCAAAAATAATCGCTGGAAACGCGCGACGAACGAAAAGAAAGAGAACGAGCAGCTCGGCTCTTACAACATCAAGGGGTAGTTTTTTGCACCCCCCGATGATGTAGCAGAGGATAAATGCAGCCACCGCAGGCAGGCTGCACTCGCGGCACGGCTGCAGCCGCGACTTGTAGAAAAGTCAATTGCCATGTTTTCCCCCACCCGGCGCGCGGCCGCCGACCAATCGGCGTCCGGGGCGGGTCTGGCAACAGGCTCTTTACTGCTCCAATGATAGCTACATTTTACAGCAATAATACACCCTTGGTATTATTATTATGTGGCGATTACTGCCGGGCCAGAAACGGACTAGCCTTCAGTAGAAGACCAGTGCTCGGCCAGTTCGCACCCGACGTGCCAACCCGTTTCGATTATTATAGCCCCCGCCTAATCATCCCTCTCGCCGATGCGCGGCTGATTTTGATGAATTTGAGTGCCAAAAGCAGCGACCCTTCCGTCACCGACCTCTCTCCGGACGCGATGCTGCTCGACCTGAGGGACAACTGCAGGGCTCAGGGCCCCCTGACGGCGCTCACCTCGATGACCGAGAGCAAGACGCCGCCGCCGGGCAACTCGGCCAGCTCGAGTCCCCGCTTGCCGGCCACGCCGCACGGCATCGAGCACATCCTCAACAAACCCTCGGCCCTGCAGACCACCCACAACCCCCAACCGCCTCTTAACCAGAGGCTCGCAGCCGCCGTGAGTATATTTTTTTATTCTAATATTTCGTTCGCTAACCAATGCAACTATTAAAAGTTTGCTCTGAATCAAATTTTATACCTAGCAGGTTTTAATTTTTTCCCCAATATATCCAATATTTTCAAAATTTTGTTCCTTGTAGATCAATTTAATTTTAAGGAATTGTCCGTGCCTATATCATACTATAGAAATTTTAAATAAAATTTCTGGCGGTTTCAGTAGCTTAATATAATTTTGCTCCATATTAGTGATTTCAGTCTGTATATGTGTGATTAATGAAGCCATTTGGAATTATTTTGCGACTGTTTTTTTATTATTATTTTACCATAATATTTATCCTTATCCTACTAATCTCTCTTAATACGTCTAACGCTTAATAATAATAATTGAATTAATTTGGTATATATTAATTTATTTTATTACTATTATAAATCCTGCTTTGCTGTTTTACCATGGCCAAGATAATGAAGGTGAATTTTAATATTAATTCTTCTGTATTCAGATTCTTCATTAAATCACAAAAATCTATCAAAAATAATTTTTTCACAAACTTAATAATTGAAATTATTGTTAATGGCATATTTAAAAAAAAAAATGTTAATTAGAACTCGTAAAATCAATAAAACTATCAAAATAAGAATATTGATAATCTATAAAAAAAAACGTAATTTTTAATTTAATCACAAATTCATTGATTTGTATAAATTTGTTGTATTATATGAAGCGTTAAATTTAACTACAGCCTCATGCCTAATTTTTGCTTTAACTATGCAATTAATGCATATTTCTCTAAAAAGAAAATGTCTTGGAAGAGCGCTAAAAGTTGTTTCTTTATTTGTCTGCCGCGCTGCTAAAAAAAAACGCGTGTACAACGCCTCTCTTAAAAAAATTATTATGCAATTTGGCGTCAGGAAATAAAAGCCGAAATACAATCTGCAGCTCGCACTTGCGGTTTTTCTCTCTCCGGCCGCTCCGCGATGATTTTAATGTAATTTAATGAGCCTTGCGCCTCGTACATGATACATTAAGCCAGCTCGAAAATGAGAGCAGCTTCTTAATTCCCCTCCCAGCTTAATTTCGGTTTGTATATTTTTATATTCAGATTCGATCGCCACTAGTAGAAAAGTGGCACGCAATAATAGAAAAATCTCCCACGCGAGCAGTGCAGGGTTCAGATCTCTTTTCCGGCGGGGCCGATCTCGAGTTTCTCTCGCGCGCACTTTGATTCTTATGCGGTCGGGGTGCCTTCATGTTTCCTGTTGTGGGCGATGACAGAGTGAGCAGGAGAGCCGCTGGGCCCTAAATTCCCAGACGTATCATCATCATTAGCCTTTACATTGTAAGTTGATACGTCGCGCTGGGTGTGCTTGGTCAACGAGCCGGAAAAGTGTGCGGGCTACACTTTTTAATGCGCGCCAATGTGACCAAATGGTCTCTCGTATGCTCAAAACCACTGCTTTTTTGCATATTATTTACTCCCAAGAGATCAAACAAAACCTCAATTCCTGTGGAGAAATTATTAGAAAATCGATTGAAAATACAAAATGGAACCAAAGCCGACCTGATTAAAACATAATAAGATCAACATCTCATTAAAGGAAAATATTATTTGGAGACCGCTATACCTATCAGAAATATCTTATAGAAATCCTATCATTCTGTTAATGAAAGTCTGCTTTTTAATTCTTTTGATTTATTTTTGAATTCAAGATTTATGTTGCAAAGAATTTTTATTGGGTTCAGAATCCAGAGGAACTTAACCTTATATAAATTTTACAATTCTATTTTTCAGCGTTAAGATTTAGTCTGAGACTCAATAATTATTGTTTAAGAAACTTTTATCATTTTAAATTTTTTTAAATCTGATTATTTTATGGGTTTTACTATGCCTGATTTTCGTTTCTGTTGATTACAGGTAGCGGCAGCAAACATGTACTTTAATCCTGCCATGCATCAACCCCTCAGCCGAAACAACCCCGTAATTTACTGGCCAGGTCTTCAGGGCTTGGTTGCCAATCCTCTGGCTTGGAGAGACAGACTGACGTCGCCACATGCTGGTAAGTTTGAAATAATCCAATATTTCTTTTGTGACCCTTATTCAATTTTACGGAAATAAATAACTTAAATAATTTAAATTTGTCCATAAAACAATAAAAAGTTTAATGGGAATAAGATCTAAATAAATTTACTTGAACAAAGATTTGAACTGAAATCCGTGTGGTGCTGATTTCATGGCTTTGCGTGTGCGCCTTGTACTCTGGGGCGCGTTTTAAACATTCGGAACACGCGTAGTTCATCAATATTGTGCGCTCTCGGGGGCCGCATATGGTTGCTGGGTGAGAGGAGGCGGAACTCTGCATTTCTGCATGTTTACGATTTATTGCACCGTTTCTCCTCAGACACGTACCACTTTCCATCAAAATAAACCCCACACTTCGTCCGCATTATTATTTTATTCTTCTGCGGCGTTTGCAACAATTGCAAAAGAGACAGACGCGCGATATATGTTTTAACCGTGCGGATTGCGACGCGCTCGGTGGCTGCTTAACGTCTTTGTAAATTGTGCGAATCATGTGGCGCGGCGAGTCCATTAGCAAGTCATCTTGTAATTTAGCGCTGACCGCTGAGAAAATTTAGCACCAAATGTCTCCTTGGCTTATAGGCTTTGAGAACCTTTTTTGCTCATCTTACTTAATGTGGCAGTGTTTTATAATTTAATTATGTTACCTAATCCTAATATTCACAATCTGCAGTAATAATTTATAATTGAGATAAAAATTAAATATTTGTGTAATTTTAAAATGGTTATAAGATAAATATTTTATTTAAAGTTGGTATTATTTATTGTTAATTTAGTTTTTTTTATTTTCAATAACTAAATGCGGTACGCACGAGTCAAAAAATTGTTTTTATTAAAAATAATGCTTTAGAAAGTTATCTCTCTTTCTTTGTTAATCTCATCTGATTATCAACGTTTGGCTAAGTTTAGCACTGCCATTCAGGCATTTTCATAAATTCTACAATCGCCACATCACATCTCTCTTTTATCTCCTCACTCTCTCAGTCAGTCAGCCTTTTCTAAAACTCTGATTAATATTACATTTGCCAGTTTTATGTGGTGCTAAGCAGAATGAGTTATGGTCTAAAACGCCTTTACAACATCTTTATTTCGCATTCAAAAGTTGGACGCGCGCAACATAAAGCGTGATGACCTCTCTCTCGAAATCTCCCGACCGGCTGGCCGGCCGGCCGACAGGCACAATGTTTTAATGCCACTCTTTATTGCTCTTTTTCTCTGGCAGCAGTTAAAGTGAGACTCGCTGCTAAGAGTTTTTATTTATACTTATTTTGATGCCGGATTTAAATAATGCGCAGAATCACGGTTGTGTAATAATTTATTCGGCACTCTCGCGTGTTGCAGTGTGGAATTCGCAGCAGAGCGGCGGCCATCAGCACCAGCAGTCGCACACCGGGGGCTCGTCGCACCCCGACAAGGACCCCAAGAAGAAGCACACGCGGCCCACGTTCAGTGGCCAGCAGATCTTCGCCCTGGAGAAAACCTTCGAGCAGACCAAGTACCTCGCCGGCCCTGAAAGAGCGAAACTCGCCTTCGCCCTCAACATGTCCGAGTCACAAGTCAAGGTAAATATCCATTATGATCTATAAACTTATTTATCCTCCATTAAAATGTATACAATCATTGAATACACAAAGAAACCTGAAAGTGTACAGAAACTGACAAGTACATATTATATTAAAAAAAAAATTAAATTACAAATTGTGATAGTGAAGAAAAGAAATATTTAAACAGGAAAGGGGGCCATGTAATAATACTTGTACTTAATAATAACACTAGGTATACCAATTTTGCGAAATTTTGGCCAAGAAAGAGTTTTTAGCTTTGATAGGCAAAAGATTTTAATTTAAAAAATAATAAAATCTATCTCAAATATTTTCAAAATATGTTTGAAAATAAAATTAATTTACCATGAAAGACCAATTTTACTGAAGCATTATATAGAAATTTTGAAGCAAGTTTCAGCTTAGTAGTAAATTCCGTGGTATAAGAAATGTTATGCTTTAGTACAAAACAAGTTTTTAAGCAGCTCCATGCTTACCCCTTCTCGTAATGGTTTCATTTGCCTCTCTGGCTGGCAGTGTCCAAAAAGTTAATGCTCATGCTTTGGAAATAACAATAAAAAAGGCAACAAGCATAAAAAGCTCGCTGGCGCGTCCTTATTAGTCCGGCAGAGAATCGCGAGGGTTCTTTTTTCGCCTTGGTGGCGCGGCGCTTTTTTTCCAGCCGAGACGCCGCTTTTATAGTGTGCAGGGGCGCCGCACGCCACTTCATTTTCCATCCACCCGGGCTGCCTGCGCCCGGCTACTAATTAAAAAAATCTTGTGCATTATTGCGCGTGCCTTCATTATACCCACCCAGGGTGTCATCATCTCTCGCCAGAAAAAGCGAGCTGGCAGCGCACACTATATACTTTTTTTTATCTTAATTAAAATACGCGGCGCCGTCCCGAGCTGCCGCGTTTCGCTACCGAATTGGGGTGGAGAAAATTTCACGCGAATAATGAGCATTGGCGAGGGTTGTGTTATTGAGTCCCGAGAGGGCAATTCCGACCTTTCAGTGGTGTAGCTTCCGAAAATGGACGTCGCCCGGCCGTTGAGGAAAACATGCAGATTCTGGAGGAGCTGACTAATATTCCGACGGCCCTGTTTAATTCACTCGCCATGCAAGGGGTTCCGGCGACGAGGGCAAATGTGACCCTGGCGGATAATTTGAATCCAAAATTTAATCACGTGGAATAGAGAGGGATTTCGAGAATTAAAAACTTACAGACATGCTAATCTTAAAAGGAAAAAGTCGCAACTTCCCCCCACGTTGTGCTTCTAAAATGATTTATTTCACATGATGCTCATTATGTTTTTACTCTCTTGTGGATTTTAGAAGTGGTTAAATGCTATGTTTTAAAGTTACTTCTATTTTAATGAATTCATATAATTTAATAATAATTCGTGATAATAATATTCAGGAAAGTATCTGAAACACTTGAAGAAAATAATTATTAACTACAAATATTTAAAAAATAATAAGATATTTTAGCGGTTTAAGTTTTAAATAAAGTAAAATTGCAACTAAATTTGATCTCACTCTCAATTTATGCAAGAAGATTATAAGAAAGTGGGTTTAAAAAAGTAGTCATAATATCTAGCATAACATCTCTGTAAATCGAAAAAAATCTTGAAAATTTATATGATTAATTATAATAAATATTACAACTGCAATTTTTCTCCAAGGAAATTTTTAAAAATACTTCTTAAAAAAATCAATAATTTATATCAATTATAAAATTTTCTTATAAATTTTTTATTAAGCGGAGGTTGAGCTTATTACTATTGTTTATGTTTATTCTTTGGATTATATTTTATATAGGCGATTAGTCATTTTACAGGACACTTGACACAATCAAAAGCCATACAAATTCTGCCCCCATTAACACAATTTAACAATTCCCACGAAATGTCCCCAATCAGAACGTTTACTTCCGAAGCCCGCTATCAGACCCCTGCGGTTCCGCCGATGCAACCCCCTGTGCATTTATGTCGGGCGCAAAGTCTACCCTCGCTGACCACAGATGTGTTTCTCTTGTTTCAGGTGTGGTTCCAGAACCGACGCACCAAGTGGCGGAAGAGACACGCGGCCGAAATGGCCACGGCCAAACGACGACAGGAAGCGGCCGAGGATGAGGCGGAAGAAGACCTGGACGAGCAGGAGCACTAACTATTCCCAGGCCGATTGAGTGTTTGTTTTGCGGTTTTTCCCGCGCGGTGATACTGTTCAAGTGCAGACTCCGGTTTAGCAAAATGGAATATAAATAATAATAATAATAAAATGTGTCCTCGTCTCTTTGTTGCGTGTGTCGCGTGTACATAGTTGGAAGTTACGCTGAGAAAAATACTCCCAATTTTAATTTTACGTTAGATGAGAAAAGTTAATTATTCTCATTATAATTGAGCAAGCATGCTGATGGCTTATTTTAACCAAAAGATTTAAGCTTCATCAAGTTTCGTCTTGGAGGAGAAAGAAAAAGTGATGCTACCAAAGATTGGTGATATTATGTTGAATGATTTTTTTTTTATAGAATCTGTCCGGATTACAATTTAATAAATATGTATTATGTAAGATTGCAATAAAGTTGCTGCCGCTGTTGATGTCCTGAGTCAGTTTCCATATTGTACTACTCGTAGCGGTGTAACTACTAAGATTGTGTATATGTTCGCATTATATACGCAGCCATGTCCACACGACTGATCATGTACCAATCAGCATGTATATGTTGCCAAATAAAGGAGCCTTCAGTACACGGTAAAATGAAATATAATCTGTATTATTTTTTTCTATTCCTAAACACAAACAATATTTAATTGTTATAAATAATTATATCATCAAATATAAAATATAAGTATATCTATCCTTATTATTACTCACTTACTTACAATTTTTTTACTTATAAATTTTATATAATTATCTATTGTTAACTGATGGTTCAGTAATTTCGAACATTTAGAGTTCTTGATAATATTTTGTTAATTATTTATGATGTCTTGTTTTATATTGATTTAATCTTTATATCCTATTTTTATAACATCAATTCATTTATTAACAAAATATAAATCTGAATCAAGAGATCCTTATAAAAAGGAAAATGATATTCAAAAGTAAAATCCTGTGAGCGCTTAAATCCAACCTTGTAACTTAAATGATAATAATATGTTTTACTTTTAACTACCTTCTTAAAAAAATTCAACTTTTGTTTATTTAAACTTAATTTTAATAAAAAATTGCATTATGTACTAAATTTTATTTGGTTGTTATAATGATTTTTCATACAGTACTTACATGCATCAAATAATTAAATTTTATTTTTAATTAAGTTTCTCATTTAATTTTTTACTATTGCAGTAGTTTGTTAAATTCATAATTATGCACTTAATTATTTAGATAATTAAAAAATCTATCTGGTTGATATTTTTTTTTTGTGATGTATGAAAAATTCAATTATTTTTTCACTGATTGCAATGACACACATAAATACAGCTCTTAATTAATTAATCTTCGCTAACAGCACTATAAACACGCGCACTTAAAATAATGTGGCACGGTGGTGAATAACACACCCCAGCGCGCGACGCAGATTTGTTTTCATTGTGCGCGACACACAAAAGTGTAGAGAGCAGCCAGCAGGGCATGTGACGACGCGCGTGATTTAATCAGGCGCCGTTTAATTTGCGTTAAAAGCACAACGAGAGCTAGGGCGCTGTCGCCGGTTTAATGCACTTGGCACGGCTCACTGCGCGCCTTAACCTTATTAGCACCCCCTGCTCATAATGGCGCAAAATAATATCATCCCCCGATCATCCATCATCAAGTAAAACGCCAACTAAATTAAATCAGCCCTCGCGCAGAGGCGAGAGAAAAAGAAAGACTTTAGTCATAAAAACATCATTACTTTATTTAATTTCGCATTTTTTTTTGTTCCTCTCTCTCTCTACCCCTGTCTTCTGATAGTTTGGCTCTTTTGCTCTCTGCCCTCTTGACGTTGGAAAAAGCTGGGAGGCAAAAGATGGGGGTGCCATAATTCGCAGAAAGCGCAGATGCGAGTGTCGTGCCGGCGGAATAATTTTTCTAACGTGTTCCCAAATGGCGATTTAAAAAGTTGAAAATCGCTCGGTTTCTATTTCATTTGTTATTCAGAGGACGCTCATTTGATATGCGTCGAATGAAAAAAATTCAATCTCATTCATATCGCATTAGTTGCAATAACTCTCCAAGTCGTCGGCAAACACGCCAAACTTTTTTCATTTAAAAGCGGCCCGCGCCGGCTACCATGTATACCGCGCGCCGTAATTTAATTTATAGCTTTTCGTTCTCTCTCGTTTTTCGTACGTACGTCCAATGCATTTTTCTCGAGTGCTGCGGCTGCTGCCGGCGACAAAATTTTTATATTTACACCGCGAGGGGTGTGATTTATCGTCCGCCGGAGAAATCTCTGCTCGACGACCGACGCCGCGCCGGTAGCAGAGCAAAGGCTGCTTTTCCAATTAAAAAGTTTGCGCGTGATTTGCTCAACTGTTTATGCCACACCGCGTTTCGCGCCACCTCTCGAAAATTAAACTCGAACCACCGCAGTCGCAATTTGTCATCTGCATAAATTAATATTAAACAGCAGTAATGAAAATTTCTCTACCTAAAACTACTGTAATTTTTTATGTGCGTAATATAAACTGTTGAAAGGTAAACATAAAAATTTTCTAAAAAAACTATTGCTAAAATTTTGATATCACATTATTTCACATTTATTTACACGTTATTATTGTTTATTTTCCCAAATCACATTGTTTACATTAAATGATTCAAGTGTTGAAAATAATTTTTTTGAAAATAAATGAATTGTTGGACACAACGGCACCACCATTAGCAAAACTTTGCTGAAGCTTCCGAGATGAAAAAAAAACCATCCGCCGCAGACGTAGGTATAATTTTATATAGTTGCGTGATTTTGATATGAAAAGTATAATATTTTTAAATGATACATTATTTATTAAAACTGTATTATTTGATGTGGAAAAAATAAAATCACTTCCTGCAATTATGCAGTAATTTTAATTATAAATAAAACTGTTTTATGTTTTAAAATTAATTTTTATAGTAAAATTTTTGATATTTCATTTTATAAATTGTTTGTTAGCAAATTTATTGCATGTTTTCTGCTAATATTAGTTCATAATTATTAACTGTGAAAATTTAAACTGGATTTTTATCTTCGTTCATCAAAACATTACGGAATTAATGAATTGAGGAAAACCCTAATTTAATAATTGTATTCACTCTATATGAAATTTCTAAAAGTGTAATAAAATATTAAAGCATTCAGTATTAATTTATTGAGAATGTTATTCAATATATGCCTAGGTCTGACACCCTGAATTATTTCAACTGGTGCTGACTAAATATTTGCGAGAAATTCTTTATTTTTCACACCAAATACATTCATACATAATTTTTATTCAAGAAATCGATTGAGACATATGACTTCTATAAATCAATTTTCAAATCAAAAACTTGATACGACGTAAAGAAAAAAAACAATACTATTTGGTCAAAACAACATTTTTGTGAATTTCCATATCTTGACCATAAACTTTTGCAAAGCCCTCTGCGTCCGGCGCCCTCTTATCTCCTATTATAGCGCACAAAACAATTTCCTCTTGTTTCTTCTTGACCCCAAGTGTGATTCCATTTTACACCCCGGCCGGCAATAACAGATTTGAAAAAGTAGAAGTGGCCCCTGCAACGCTTTTCCCCGCAGAATTCGCGTGACATATTTTTTTTATCGGAATAAAAAACCGCGCCGCCCCCAGCCCTCAAATCCCCGAGTGTTGATTTACATTGAACATGAACACGCGCGCGCTCTCTTTTGTGACTGCAATGCCAAAATCGGCGGCCGGCGGTGGTTTTATCTCTGGCGATCCCTCTCGCCGCACGTATCGCGCGCAGCCAATTTAATGACAGTTTGATGTGCAATTTTTATCCCATCAGATAGCCGCAACACCCGTGGCCGCACGTGCGAGTTATTGGGGAACTATTGGCCAACTATGAACCACACAGCGGCAGCATAATGTAGCCCGCCGAAGCTTAATTACACGGGCAACTATTGGAAAAGTGCCGATTCGCAGCCCACTTTTCCCAGATCGAGCGAGGCGAGGGCCTTGTTGTGCGGTTAACACCTATGTATGCCACCGTGACAAACACCCTTTTGTTTCAATCGACGACCAGCAAGACAAATATTTGCAGCGGTCTTGCCCCTACACAGAGACCGCTACCACGTTTTATATTAAACTGAATTATAAGTTATTGTCCGTTTAATAAAATGCTTGGATTAATTACGTGCAGAAATAAAAACTTTTGAGGGAAAAAAATTTTGATGACTTAATTCAGTGAACTCAATTTTTACTTATTAACACTCAAATACGGAAAGACAAACTTGAAAATGATTTTCCAAGTTTATTATCCTATATCAATCCTTATTTAAATGCTTTTTTGAACAACATAGTTTCATCAACATATTTAAAATTTGATGAAATGATTGGAGACTGCTTTAAAATAACGATTTTTCACCAAACCTACTGATTAGGATTTTTAAACATAAATATCTCCGTTTATTAATTATTGTTTTCTTTGTTATATGCGATTTTATGTTGCATCCAAAAAGATTATAACCTAGGAAAAAAATTGTCTCACGCGCTGAATTTTTAACTTTTTTATTATGATTAATTTTTATTTCATTTGATTTTCCATAAATTAACCTGAAATTCATCTCTTTTAGCAAACGATACAACCACAAAATAATTTTGGTTCAAATTTTTATTTCTGTAAAAACTAAATGATCGGAGTTGATCAGAAAACTCGTATTTCAATTCAAGCCCCAGTTCGACCTCTCGCAAAGAATTTAATTCCCGTCGACGTCGCGAGGATTAAATTTTTACCATGCAGGCGCCCATGGTGCAGCATTCTGATTTCCATCGACGCGCTGCCGGGAAATGAAAAGAGGAAAAGAGAGTTCGCCTCTCGCACCGAAGGTCTCTCTCGTTTTAATATTTCCAATTTTACACGGGCGCTGAATTTATTATTCACTCTCTCGCTGGGTACACGCGCGTGTCGGTTTTATTTTCGCTTCCAATGCTCACTCTTTTTCTTGCTGCCGAAACCTCTCTCTCCGCCAATATCAAATGTATGCGCGCGGCGAAATGAAAAGGAATAAAAAACGGTGCGTTTTAGTCCAAGCCGAGCACACCTTGGAGATATGAAATTCAATCTTTGGTATTAGAAGAACAATAAAAGTTTAGAGCCGGCCCCGATGGCGCTTGTACCTTATGCATGTTCTTTTTTGTTATACCAGCACCGCGCTATAGCTACGCTGCACGAAATAAGAAACTATGAGTTATAGTGGGGAATTTGCAACAACATACCGGCGGGCGATGCTGGTTAGCCCCGGCGAAAGAAAGACTTTACGACTCTTTTACCTTTGTTTCCCTCTTCCCACCTGCGCCCAATAAAATGGAAAACGAAACATATTAAAGATATATTGACGTATGCCGGCAATAACTTTATATTTCCACTTTTTATTTACCACGAGAGCGGTTTTGATGCTTCCCGAGCCCGCGTATAATAAATTTATCATCCCTCGCTCAAAATAACAAAACACACACGCGCCACCGCCGTCGACGAGCAATCCATCTTTTATTTTGTTTTCCGCCGCATAATTCGCGTCATGTGCGCCGCCGGCAGGAGTAGAAATAATACAAACGCATATAAAAAGGAAAAGCCGGCTCCGGATGGGATGTATGATAATTTGGCTGTTTGTGCCACGCGGAGGGTTGCTTTTGCCCTGCGGAGGTGCAAATCACGCGCCCCGGAGACGCCGCTGCGCTGGTCAGCCCCGATATTTGTTATTCAATTCACAAGGGACACACAAGAGAGCAACTTGCAGATTTCTCTGGCGGCTTTTCCCTGAAATTGTACACACGTTTTGCTGCATCACTGCTTAAGGCCGCGGGTCAGTCGGCGCAAAGTGAATTTCCCACCGTCTCGTTTTATTGATGTGTGGCCATTGGGGATGCGGAAATAGCCTGGAGACCTATCGGAATCTGAGGAAAGTGCTCTGCAGACTGGCACAAATAATGTCTTACAGTGAAAAAATGTATCAAGCTTTGCTACGCGTTTATCAGGAAAACACAAATACAACAATGGTCATTTTTATTAAAATCGTACCCAGTTTGATTAATATTTATTTACTGAATTGAGGATAAAAAAGTTAAATTGTAAATATTTAGTCAAGCAATAATGAGAACATTAACAAAATATAGTGTCTGAACTAAATAATTGAAAATCTTAATAAAATTTCAACAATATAAAAATTGGAACTGTTTAATGAAAAAGTTGTTGTTTTCCCCTGTCAAATTCAGAAGGTTTATAGCAGTTTTTTTCAATTTATCAGCTTCTGTGGATTCAATAAGAATTTAGAAATCGAGGACAGGGATTAATTTTTAGCTTCGCTTCCAAATTATTTTAGTAGTTACATTAAAAAATAGCATAGAAATAAATAGAAATAAATCATAATTGTATTTTTTTATAATGATTTCAAACTCGTTATTTTAATATTTTAATGTCAGTTTTATCCTGTTAAATATAATTTTTAAAAATTAAAAAAAATAAGCTTCCAAATAAGTGGATGCTGGTTTCGTTGTACCCACAACCCAAAATATTTATGGAAGATTTTTAACTCTTCACCTTGTGTAGATTATTAGAAAATAAAATCATTTATTCGTCACATTTGTTATGCATTTTATTTTTTAAATATAATAATCTTGCTGTATTAATATTATTATTCGATCTCATCTAATAACAATCATCATTTATTCATTATATGACATGACAATCTATTGAAACTACATATTTATAGGGCAAATTTTTGTTTAATGAGGCACAAAAAACACAAGGTGCAATTTTTCGCCAGAGCCTATTAAGTACGTATTTCTACGCGCACATAACGCATAACATTTATTCAAAATCACACGCGGAGTGAAATTCGCGGCAGCAGCAGACAAATGGAAAAATGCCGGCTGGGGTGCTAAAGCCCTGTTGTTTCATTTTTCCAAACAACGTTAGTCCAAATAAATGGAGTATTTATTCATTTTTCCCTTGCGTTTCGCCCTCTTTGTTATTTATCTCGCTTTCTCTCTCTCGCCTGCTGCAGTGTAACATGCTACTTTTTTTTACAAATGAGTGGGTGTTGGGATTTTGTTAGTCATTTATCAGAAAGAGGGTTTGTCAGCGAGTATGCGCCGGGCCGCGCGCAGAGAGGAAGAAAGACGCACTGAAAAATCGCGCAATGTTATCATCTGCAACAGCCCCAGATGTTTTAGGTGACAGAAGGTGATTTGACTAGCTCACTTGATACTTTGCGATCGTGCCTCCGCCACTTGCAAACAAAAATATAATAACGGGGGCGCTTTCGTAATACGCAAGCGGCGGCGGGCCAGGGACGCATGTGTTTGCTCTCTTTAACGTTCTTTATTTAAATAACAACGTATCATCGTGCGAATAATTCGAGGATTAGAAGAGCGGAAAAAAGAAAATCTCGTTGCGGAAAAATAATTGCATCAAATCTCTCGCAATTGGACGGTGGGAGGAAGCAGAGCGAGAGTGAATAATTAAATTGCATTTATCAGTTTTATCGCGCAATTTTTACGCTCAACTTTCGTAAGCCCCTCATTTGTTATGGTCTCTCTGCGCTCTCTCTGCTGGCATTAAACACAAAAATAATGAAAAGAGCAGCAGAGATAATCTAATTTGATTAATTGCCACCCTTCGCGGAATGACGATGGCTTGAGTTGGATTGAAAAAGTCACCGAACGCTGACGAGATTATGCGTTTCAAAGTTTGCACTAAATCATAGTCAATCACGGCAATTCATTGAAGGGCTGAAGTAAAGACTATAATATATCTCATGCATTTTTGGCTTCAAATTCATATTATCACACTACAAACTTGTATTATAATTAACCTGATATATATTCTTTTTATTCATTATGGCTGCCAATTTTTTCTTTAATTTTAAATTAAACTGTCTTTAATTTGAACTGAATACTGAATCTTTCATTGAAGTATTTAATATTTTAATAGATATTCATTGCATTAGATTGGCGCCTTCCTTAAAAACACACTTGGTGGACAAATGAGGCAAAAAGAAGCAATTAATCCCCCCTCAAATTCTCTCTCGCATTGAATAGATTGACTGACTGACGTTAGGCAGTCTCTGTTACGCAGCTATCTAATGTTTTTTTTTTTTTTTACTTTTCTCGATTGGTGCGCGCCTAAGCTACCAGCAGCAAAGAAAGCTACGAGGCAAAAAAAAAATACAGAGTTAAATTGAGCTTATTTTCCCTGAAGAGTGCAGTGTCAGGAGAAACGACGCGCCGCCTTTAATGGTGCCATTCATCATATTCCCTGCATTAATGACAAAATGAATAGTAAACAACATTAATTCTTGCCACGGCGCCATTGTGCGTCTGCCACCGCGCACCATATCAACCATCATTTATTTATATGCTTTTAATCTTTTGAGCGGGTGTAAAATGATGATGACGGTGATTATGTTTGTGAAAAAATTAGAAGGCTACCAAATTACACCGCATCCTGCTGTGCCTTTGGTGAATTTGCCTTCCAGCAAGGTAGCATCAAGAAGTGTGTGACGTGAGAAAAAAATCTTAGATCTTTTAAATGACACCACGCTAATGACCAGTGACTTGATTTTTAACTGCAAGAATGATAACCACGTTCATTTTTTCATCTCAAAGGGTTTGCAATAATTTTTTGTGGTGTTATTTTTATAAATTATTAGTTTAATGGCTCTTTACGATTGAAATAAATTATGCATCAAAATTTACAATAAATATAAATTAGATAAATTATGAAATCAAGTGAGCCAAAATATATGGCTACATGCTACATTAACTCACTCCGTTCCATTCATCGACGTCGATTAATCGATTCAGTCAATTTTCATCGGTGTCTGTTGAATTAAAGAACATGTTGCAACTCAAGACATTTTTCTTTGCTTTTCCATCCTCGTTAGTGCACTGTGATTTCCTTGAGGTGACGCTTTTAAACTTAGCTATCAAAATAAATTTTTATTTAGTTGCTTATGTAAAAATAAGTACAAAATTTCCCTACATTTTGCATCCAAGTTATCAGAACTAGACAAGCTGATTGACTTGGTAGCCATCTTAGCACGTTTTGATTCACAGGCAGAGCGTTTTCCAAATAGGCTTTCAACCTTTTCCTCATCTGAAGAGACTAACGAGAACAAGAGATTTGATGATTCCTTGCATCTTGGTTCAGAGTCACTTGAAGCCTTTGATGTGATGTGATTATGATTCAAAAATGTTTTAAATGGTAAAGAGCGAGATCTTAAACTATTTACAGTTTTCGGATTTTCCAATTTTTAAACTTTTGTGATTTTCAGCCAGCTTAACTGTTTTTCTACTTTCAGCAAGCTTTGAAGAAGGTGTTTGACTTTTGCGCCTGTCTTTCTCACTTTTTGGACTCATCATTTCCTCATTCCAGTCACTGTCACTTGAATTGAAGCAAATTTTCTGCTTAGGAATAAATTTATTTGCCTTCACATCAATAGAAGATCGTTTCCTATTTCTTGAAAAAGACTCTTTGGGTTTCTCTGCAAAATTTGAAACTCAGATCAAACGATAAATAATATTTCAGCAATTTCTTACTCTTAGTTGGTTGAGTTGAGTCTGATTCCGTTGCAGGTTTATCATCATGCACTTGAAGCTTAGAGGGGGAAGTATTTTGTGATTTTATTTGCTCAATATTTCCATCGTCCGATGAATCAGTTGGCAAGGCAAAGCACTTCGGTCTCCAAGAGAGTTTCTTGACTTTGGCACGGGCTGATGGTGAAAAGTTTGATTCTTTTGGTGCTGACTGGCTCAAATATGCTAAAATATAATTATTTGCCAATGCACTATGCATTAAAATTATTACATACATTTTGATAAAGAAAAAGATCTAAAAGTCTTGAATTTTCCTTTTTGTGCAGAGTTATTTGACTCTCTCCCACAAACTATCTCTTCTTCAGAAAAACCAGACGAAGCACCAATTCCAGACGGTAGAGAGGACTTAGGTTGCAAAGTCTGCAGTGAACATTCAGATTCTGCTGGAGTAGATTTTCTGCGATTCACAATTGCCGTTTTCTTGTCAATAGCAGGTAACTTTTTCAAATAAGTTCTTAATTGTTTTCCTGTTGGAATATTTTTTTAAATATTTAGTTTCGTAGATATAAAGGTGTTTAATGAATATTACCAGCCGTTTTTATTATGTCTGTTTGTACTTTGCCCACCAGCAAGTCGTGTAAACTAATATCTTTACTTTCATCATCAGCCTGATGGTCACCTAAATTTAAAAAAACAAAAAAATAGTAAATTATGATTTAAAACAAATTAATTGTTTACTTTGGTGATCAATAGATTTTGTAGCAAAGGAGTTTTCTTCAGAATCACTTTCAACATCCGTTTCATAACCATCGTATTTGTTAATGTGCTTTGAAGAGGATGAATCTTTTGCTAAATTAACCAGCATAGATTCATTGGCTGAAAATAAAGCTATGAATATTAATTTATATTATTTAGAAAAATATTGAATTTAGCCAAGCACTTACAAACTTGCGTGTTTTCTGTATTATCTTTGTTTGCCAGCAGCAGTTTTGGTGATGAATTTTTATATGTTTCTACAGCACAGTCATCAGTATGCTCATTGGCCACTTCTTCAACAGGAAGCAACTTGTCCAAAAGACGCACCCATTTTTCTGTGTTAATATTTTTACACTCCTTGATTTAATTATATATACATTTGTTGGATATTACCAGCAGTCTCGATGCCAAGATTATTTGTCACTTTTCCCGTCAACAAGTCATCTAAGCTTTCTGCATCAGTCTCAGTCTCAACATCATAACCTATTTCACTACCAACTAAAGGTAAAAAATTATGAAGAATTATGGAAGTTTACATTCAATGATCAACTCCATTACCTATTTCATTAAATTCTATGTAGTTGCCCACTTTGACAATATTTTCTTTGTCTTCTTCAATGTTGCCGACACATTTTAATGCAGTCTCAAAATCATCAGGTTTTTTAGTGTGGTCAAAATTTGATGGATTTTCTTCCACAGTTGAAATCAGTGGTGTGGATTTCTCAGCTAAAAACAAAAATATTTTTAATTCCAACTCCCCCTAAAATCAAACAAATCAACTTGTGCGATCGAAATTACCAGCAGCAGAGGCTATGATATTTTCTTCAAAAGGCTCACTGATACTGTTGATGCTTGAGTTTTTATAATCCTTTTGGTCTTCAATGTGTACTGCATTTTTTTTGCAACTTGTGTTTTCGTGTACAGTCAACAGAGATTTTTGGGTAATGTTTGATGACTTAGGCAGAACTGGTGGTTTTTTGGAAATCACCAAAACTTTGCTTGCAGGCCCATTTGAACTTTCAGACTCTGGTTCTACAAGAAAAATAGTGCAAAATAAGTGAATATAAGAGAAAAAATTTTGATTTGCATATCCTACACAAAATTTGAAATTTTTAAACTACAAAATTGCGCTCATTAAAAAAAATGTACCATTTGCAAGGCAAAACACTTTGCATTAATTTTCCTATTAACAAAGTTTTATAATAACCTTGAGGGCCTCGAGGAAAGTTTTTCAATCTCCAGCTGTCTACGTCTCCATTGCCACATAATTTTTCTACTCCATTCAATAAGTTTTTCACTAAAACATTTTTTAGAGAAGATTCTATAAGGAAGAGCTTTACGTACCTTCATCCTTGTTTAAACGAACAAAGCATTGTTTCAATTTTGGAATTTCTTTTTTAGAGATGTTCTTGACGTTGTCATCGACTTCCGCAGATTTCAGACTTTGCAGGGAAAAGCCAGAAAATAAGTTTTCTTCTTCTAAGCATTCTAACCCTCTCTTAACAGTTGTAGATCTTTGAATTGGTTGTTGCTCATTCCAAGGAAAATCGCTCGAGGCTAGAGAGTCCAACGGAATTCCTCTTTTCGGGCTTTCCTGACAAGGAGGTGCCCAATTGGAATCAACTGTAATATTTAAATAAGGATAAAAAAAAATTGGAATACATATTCATCATGCTAACCTGTCACATTAATGCCACTTAAATATTTCTCTGATAGCGATTTGAACAAGCCGTTGAATCGCTCCTTAGCTCTAGCGTCCCTGGAACATGTACAAATTTAAGTATTGCACAAAATATCGCTTTCTGCAGGTCTGCATCTGCGCTTTTTAAGACAGAATTTATTAATTTATGTGCATAATGCATCTCGCAATTCACATAACAATAACAATGTGAATGATTGTCCAAGTTTAAGAAAATGTACTAACCTTTCATTCAATAATTTATCAAGCTGTAGACTCATTTTTTGTTATCATTTATTGTCTCTCTACCTTTGAGATACAAAGCATAAAAAGATCAAAATTCCAAAGCGACTCAACTTTATTTGAGATTTTACGATTTTACTAACTTTTTGAAGTCGGCGGTGATGGGCGTAGCCCAATACTGCCAACGTAACAGGTGTAAAGACACAAAGAAAATTTTGTAAATTCCCCTGAATTCATTGAAGGGAGGGATTAAAAATCAATTTAATAATATCAGAAAATAAAAAAAAAACCTAATATAAATTAACAAGTGCACTAAATACGGTTGATGGTTGATTTGAACATTTATTTATAGAAAAAACTTGGATGGTTGCCTACCTTTTTTGTTTGTTTTGGTGAATTGATAAATGATCAACGAGAACGAATTGAATGAATTGATCAACGAATTGATCTTCTTGCAGTAAAGTTCTTGCAAGGAGTTTTGTTTAGATATTGTAGGGAAAACTCATGGTGAACGGTGATAATTTTGAAAAGGTGAATATATACATAAAGTAAAATACATTATACATACATCCCACAGAGTTGACAGTGTAAATAAAATTTTCGTGGATAATTAAATAATTATTAATTCAATTCAATTAATTTTGCTTAATATGTAATTTAAATAATTAATCTATCTTTTGGATTCCAGTCAGAGCTGTCTTAAAGAAGAAACCAAATTCTGCTCTCTTTTATACATATAGTGCCTGGCGTTGAACTAAAATTTCGTGATGAGGCTTCTAATTTTACTTGGCTTACTCTTTGTCCTTATCTGCCACTGCAGCAGCAAGAAGACTCAAGAAAAGGAAAAGCCGGATTGGGCAAAAAAAGATATCCGAGACTTCTCAGATGCAGACATGGAAAGATTGCTTGACCAGTGGGAGGTATGTGTGTTATAATGTAGCACGTAGTAATAATAAACAGTACATGAACGGAATAATAATATAAACAAATACCTACAAAAATCTTTCTAATTGCAGGAAGACGAAGAGCCTTTGGAGGAAGATGAACTTCCGGAGCACCTTAGGCCGGCTCCCAAAGTTGACTTTAGCAATGTATTTTTTTTCTAAAATTGTTTGCTCTTTATCTTGAATTATTTTGAATAAGGTTGACATGTCAAATCCTGAGGCGATCTTAAAATTGAGCAAGAAAGGAAAAACTCTGATGACGTTTGTCAACGTGGATCCCTCCTATTCCAGAGAAAAAACTGAGGAAATCACCCAAATCTGGCAAACAAGTTTAAGAAATAATCACATTCAGGCTGAAAGGTGGATAATTTTTTACGAGTTCTGTATGTGTCTTATGTTTTGATTTACCCATCAGGTACCTGATCGATGACACACGAGCAATTTTCATGTTCAAAGATGGGTCGGTCGCATGGGATGCTAAAGACTTTCTTGTGCAGCAGGAAGGATGCTTAGAGGTTGTAATTGAGAACAAAAATTATCCAGGGTTGAAGCAGGTACAGATGTAAAAATATTTTAATTTTTTTATTTTAATCATTTTCTTTTCAGAATCTCAAAATGAAAAAAATGGAGCTATAGACTAAAAAAAGAATAATTTTTGAAAATCATGAGGTTTGTAAACCACTGGTCCTCTATAATGAGTCTTTGTGCACATATTGTAAAATATTTCTTTTCAGAGAAAATAAAATTCCATGGTGATATTTTGTTACAATATTTTGTGAGTCGGAGTAGTTTTATTTATTTATTATTATTTTTTTTTATCAATCTCCAGTGAGACGCGAGACGCTGTGAGAAACCTAAAATTTTTATTTTTTCTCTGTAAAATATTTAAAAGTGCTGCGTGTTATGCAAGAATATTTAATTTGTTATTTTGGAAGTGCAAACTGCAAAGAAACATTTTATTATTCCGGATTAGGTTGGTAGCATTGGGCAGTATTTACACGTGCATATATATGTTGGCAGCATTGCCATGCCCATTGCCCATCCTATTTTATCATTCACATCAAACATCAACAACTAGTGAAGTGATTACTGGATTCTCCTTATTTAAAATGTAAAAAAAACCGAATACAAGAGATTTAAGGATTTTTCTGATGAAATGCAGTAATAGATCACACTATCCGAGAGCAATTATTAAATCAAGTTACGATCTTGACTCATCTTAACGCACAAGAAAAGACTTGATTACAAAGGTATGTATGTAGATGTGTATTTTTGGACATAAAAAAATTGTTCTTTATTGTAGGTTTTATAAATAATTTATTTAAAACTTTCAATACTTTTTTTTACAGAAAATGGACCCTATTAAATTTACACCTGGAGCCCACACCAAATATTTTAAAAGATTTTTGCAAATGATGCCACCACAAGCTCAAAAGGGAGATTCCCAAAGGTTTGTTTGATAAGATTTTTTTATGCAAAACACGTATACATTATAACGTGTATAATAATAAAAAAATTGAACATTTAAATTTATAAACAAAAACTTTATCTAGAAATATATCTGCAGGTTGATGGTTGCTTTTTTCTCCATATCAGGACTGGACATGATAAACTCCTTAGAATCATGCAACGCACAATACAGATTGGATATGATTGAGTGGATCTACAGTCTTCAAATACATCCTTCTGATGATGGCAAATTCGTGAAAAACACTTTGAAATTTTTATTAACTTTTCTCTCTAGATGAAAGCTGGAAAAGGTGTGGTTTCATGGGTTCGAGTAATCTCAAGTTACAAAGCGCTGATAGCAAAGAGTACCAATACGGCCACATAGCCATGACCTATACCGCACTTTCTAGTCTTGTTATCTTGGGAGATGATCTGTCTCGTGTCAACCGACATGCAGTTATTCAAGGAGTAAGAGCATTGCAACAGCCAGATGGAAGGTTTGTACATTTTTTTTTTTAATCCATTATCACATTTTTCACTTGTTAGTTTCTGTGCTCACCTCAACGGAAGTGAAAACGACATGAGGTTCATTTTCTGTGCGGCCGTAATTTGTTATATCCTTAAAGACTGGTCTGGAATGGACACGACTCTTGTTGAAGATTTCATAAAAAGTAGTATTGTAAGTAAAAAATTGTCCAGACAACTTTGAATTCTATGTTTCTTTCCTTTAATGCAGAGTTACGAAGGTGCCATTGCTCAGGGTCCAGGTCTGGAAGCTCACGGTGGTTCCACCTACTGCGCTATTGCGGCTCTGGTGCTGATGGACCGACTTTGCATTTTTAGTGAAGAAGAGATAGAGAAGTTGAGACGTTGGCTCCTTATGAGGCAGATGGCTGGTTTTCAAGGAAGACCCAACAAACCTGATGACACATGCTACTCCTTTTGGGTTGGTGCAACTCTGAAGGTAGCGACTAGAAAATCATTTCTGGACAACAAAAAACTAAGCAAAACTTTTGTGTAGCTCTTAGATCGTTACCAGTATATTGATGGGAAGTCTAACCGCAACTATATTTTATCAACCCAGCACATCCTTACTGGAGGCTTTTCTAAATGGTGTGACACTTCACCAGACCCCCTGCACACATATTTTGGTACATTTTTTTATTTTTTAATAATTAGCAAATAACATTTGCGCCTAAAGGTATTTGTGGCCTTTCCTTGATGAACGAGCCTGGGTTAAAAGAGATGAACTGCGCATTGAACATGAGTGTGGACGCGGTAAATCGGCTTACAGAAATTCAGAAGTGTTATTCTTGACGAGATTGTGCAATAATTAATGAAAGATTTGTCGGTAAATATGTTTTTTACTTTCTCGATATCTCAATATTTGAGGAATTTTAATTCATTATTTCTTGTTTAATTTTTTTTACACCAAACATTATGAAGTGTTAAAAATAAAACTACAAAAAATCCAAAAATAATACATACATAAATAATTTTGCTTCGATTTAGACCTCTTCATTTATTGTTAGCTAGTTTCGTTGAAAATAAATGCTCTGCCGGACTCAAAATTATGGGTTGCTGAAAGGAACATTTTGTATGTAGAACTATTTATTGATTTTTATTCATGAACACACTATGTGTACATTAGGTGTACAAATGCATTTAAATATTCTAATATTGCAACTCGTTTGGGCATTGCAGACTAAATGGAGAAGATTGCTTCTGCGAATTTCTATTATCATGCCGCTTTTTTTTGTCTCGCAATGCCCAACAAGTTCATTGCCCATGAACATTAACACAATTTGGTGTAGCTAAGTGGTAAAATGTTTCATCAATCAGAATAGATAACTGTGGGTGCTTTTCTTGAATAGGAATTAATTCTTTTTTGATGGTATCTTTTTAAGATTAATATAAGGTAAAATTATTTGTTAATTTCACACTGGTGATTTGTTGATTATTTGTTAACTTATTTTCATTAGTATATTGTTTCCTTTTAAAGCATTTTATTTTTCAATTTGACTTCATCTAATATATTTTTTTTTATCTTGTTAAGTTTTATTTTTCTAGCAAAACAACATTTATATTATTATGTATTATTCAAACCCACACTCTTTTTAGATAGTCTGAACGCAATTTTTAGTAAAATGCCACAACAAAATTAAAATTTTCTTTTGCTATTCAAACGTGTTAAAACCGTTATATAATACTCTTCATCTACTTTTAGGTTAGGAATTAAAACGCTCTAAATTACCAACAACATTTATGGTTCGTTATCGGAACAAGAAGCTGTGGTTTTAGTATAGCAGCACACGCAAAATAAAACTGAAATAGTGATAAAAGCTTTTTCCTCTACCACACTCAAATAGGCCTCGTGAGGTCATTAAGTAGTTTCCGCGATTATTTTTTCTTGGTTAGATTGGTGTATACCTTACTTTGTTCAAAAAAGTAGCGCAACCGAACGAAAAATATTTTATTTTATTATGCTTTCACTCAAGTCTACATTTTTTTTTTTTAGTTAATTTCAAGTAATATTTTGAATATTTTAGTGAAATAGTTGATGCGCATTCCCATAGTTGGCGCAAACCTCAAACGTGTGTATAGTTTTTCGGGTTATTAAGAATAAAATAATACGTGTTCCACATCATGCAACAGAAAATTTTGAGTCTGGTTTAGAGTCGAGGTATTTTAGTAAATTGTCCTTTGTTATAGTGGACTGCAGCAGTGTATCTTGATTTTTTTGGTGTGATTTGGTTTGTTTTATTTGTGTTTAGAGAGCATGCACATGCATCAAATTTAATACAGATTGCCTCGGGGGCAAGCACCTTTTTGAGGAATCTTAAAAGTTTTTACCCAAGAGGCAACCGTCTAAGCATTTCAAATTTATAAAATTTTCATTTTTATTTTTCTTAACAGTTTTTAACAATTTTTATATAATTTAAAAGACTCGTCATTATATTAAGTTTTTCATCGTTCTCTGTATTTTTTCTGGTTGTAATGCACATACAAAAATTTTGCTACAATTTTAAAATAGCAGTTTTAACAAAATACAAAAGCGCGCGGCAAAATATTTGTTTTGCAGTAAAATGCACTTTTTTTAATAAAATTTCTGCTGGGAAAAAAAATTATAAAATTACTTGTAGTAGCTTTGCATAGACATATTAGTTTGATGGTTGTAGAGAGTATTGTGAGGAAATCTCTCCTACAAGTACTTCATATAACTTTATTTATAATAGTTGCGGTTTGCTTTTTTGAGGCGCAATCTGAATTTCCTCTTTACTGAGCAACAGAAGTCGAGTGTAATATGCACTTTTCATTATGGTACCAAATAAGAATTTTGCTTTTAGATTTTTTTAGTTTTACATTCCTTTTAGTTTTTATATACTTTTTGAAATTATTTTGTGGTTTTTAGCCTGAATTTTTCTTGCGTTATTGATTCATTTTTTTTTATTTAGACAACACACAAGTCAACATATTTTCGCACTAAAGATGGGCGTTTTTACTATTTTCTATTTTTTTTTTTTTTGCAAACAAATTTGCTCTTATACAACATATACAATCAACAATAAGCAAAAATCATTAAAGCCAATCATTATGTTTTTCATATATAAAAATCTGCGATCAAGATTCTTCTTGGTGAAAGTCCTCTTGTACTTAAACTTTTTTCACATACATGTTGGTAACAATGAACAACCAGTGTAGTTAATAATTCAGGATAAAAATTTCGTTATTTGATTGTGTTCTGGTTTTCATAAGTGTCCAACTCTAATGATTGAACAATGCATTAATAAATAATGTTTTTGTCACACTTTAAATCCACCAATTACAAGCCAATCAAAGACAGTTTGGCTATGACATGACACACAACTCTGCTCATCAGCGTTTAAGAAAAGAATAAATAAAATTTTTCAGAAAATGTTGCACTTTAATATCAATTATATGAGGGAAAAAATATCCAGCCAAACAATATCAAGATACAGTCACTAAAAGTGATACAAGAAAATCTTATTGGTAGAATTATTTGAGCTTCAAAACTATTTGGAATTTATCAAAGATAAAATTCAAATTGAGTTTTTAAAGTGCAAAATTTCTCATACTTAAATATATACAGCCTTTTTTTAATTAGAGCAGCCACATAATCATAGAGTTTGGAGTTTGAATTTATCTCATTTAAAAAAGTTTGGATTTTTTAATTTTTTTTCTCAATAATTAAATTGAAATTTTGAGGCTTTTTGCATAGCGCAAAAATGCCAAATAATATAATATAAAAAGTCAATATTTCCCAACCAAAAATTGCTCAGTCCAGTATAGCGGAAAATGGTCCAATGACCAAATGATATCAATCTCTGCCGGGCAGTAACTGTGTGACAAACGTAATTTCCAAACCTCCAAAGCCCCTGACGGTTATGCAGCACAGAATATAACAAACATATTACGCCGCTGTGTGCGTGTGTGCATGTGTGCCGTGTGAAGAGAGAGTATGGAACAATATGTATGTATGCTGACATGATTTATACAAATCGATCAATCAATCTCAATAACAAAGTCGCTGGCGCGAGAGTGTGTATTTTTTTTTCATTTGTGTGTGTGTGTATGCATATGATTTTTGCGTGTGTATGTTTTTTGGCATAGGGGATTGTTGGGGGGCACCGCCTGGGCGCCGTTCACTCGACGATGATGTGCGGCGCCGATAGGAGGACTGCAACCGTGGCTACAACCGTGAACATGGTGAAGATTATCAAACAAAAGCGGTCCACCACCATCGCCGCGAACTTCCAATCACTAATGAGGTCGGCCTTCTCGTCGGCCTGCCGCATTCGCCCCGTGATGAACTGCAGCTCGCGCAAAATGAGCTGCAGCTCGCGCTGCGACGCCGAGCAAGCGCTGCCGCCCACGTGCGCCACCGTGTCGTCCAGCGTGGACGCGGACATGCCGCGCAAGTAGGCGCCGCACGACGGGCCGCTGATTTGGCGGAAGTCGTCGTCCAACTCGAGCACGTTCGTCAGAAGGCTCTTGCACGAGCGGTCTTTCAGTTCAAGCTCTTTCTTTCGTTTGTGCATCTTGATTGTACGCAGCGTGATCTTCTTCCCGGGCCGGCTCATTCGCAGGAACCACGGGAACCAATGTAGTAGCACAGTCTTCACCTGCAAACGTGCCAAGAAAATTCAATTAGAGCGTTTTAAAGGTGTCAAAAGAAGAATGCAAATTCGATGGTTAAAAATTCTGCAGGAATCTACGATTAAATTTTTTTGATTGATACAAAAATAAGAACAAATAAAACATAGAAAATTGCTATAGAATTATTTTTTATTTTTGAGAGCGTAAAAATTTATAAGGCTAGTATGTAATGTTGAGAATTTTTGTGTTTAAGTCTAGAAAAAAGTTGGCAAAAATTAAGATATTCATTTATTTAGCTTCATTTTTGCAACAAATGAAAATGATGTATCTGGAAAGTATATTTTAAAAATCATTTGCAGGGATCCTTTTATTTTATTAGATGTCATAATTCCAATTTTTTTAAATTTCTTAGAACATTATTCAAGGCTCCGGAAGTAAGAATGAAAATTTTGACGCTTTTATTCATGTCTGTGTAATCTCAGTTGGAATTTATAGAGTGCCATCTTACTATCACACGGCACCCTTTTCAAAAGAAGTCCGTACCGCAATTTTATGGACAATAATTTTTTACTTTTACGAGTACTAAGTGCATCGAATCGGAAATCAAATGATGTGGCGGCGAGATATAGTGCAAAAGTTGAGCCACTAAAAAGCGGAGTTCTTGGCTCACGGTATATAAGAGGAAGCTACGTTTGTTGTTGACAAAAACTTTATAAGATTGCGAGAAAACTGCTCCGGAGTCGTATTGCGTGGCACGTGCGTGATATATTCGCAAAATTATTATCCCGAACGTCTCCAGTGTTGGCCTGAAATTTATGTGCGCGCGAGTACGGATGGAAACAGTTTTCCTCCCTCTTCTTGGTACAAGAACTCTGGCACTAATCTAGATACCTTATTTGAGCGGCGTTCTACTTTTCTCGACGTTCTTCGAACATATTCCGCAAAAGCGAGGAAAAACCTGAGAGTGGGAAAGTTGGGTCGTTTGCCTGCTGAAAGCGAGTTTTATCATAACGACGGAGAAGCATTGTTTTCTGCTCTCACTCGTCCGAGCGAGAACTTTTAAAATAATTAACTTTTCCCCTGAAAGTGGGCACGACGAGTAATGGCTTTTTAAAATTACTCCACATCTCCGTGGCCGAGCGAAGAGGCGAAAAGGGCGCGGTGGCTCTTGTCCGCCACACCAAATTACCTGTCATGTTTGGCCAAAGAAGAAATTTATTGCCCGCAAGTACGACTGTGCTCGATTTGCACCCAATTACTTTCCATTCCCATTTAAATGGAAAGCTCCGAGGCTTCCCAAAGCCCGCGGAATTTCGGGTCAATTTGTTTTGCTGCCCGGTGCAAACACACAACTCTTTTGCCGCGAATAATTTATATTCCGCGCGTCCGCCGCAAAGATTAATTGCCTGCATGAGAGATAATTTTGCGTCCGGCATTTCAAAACTTCGTCTGCCCGACACCGCCCGCGTGAGAATTGTGCACAATTGTGTTGTGGGGCCTCTGCCGTGCGTCCCACCGACAAATTACGCTGCAATCTGCTCATGTTGTTTGCACGCTTTTGTAACAACGCGAAACTACACACTGCTGTTGAATGCGGTCGGCATTTCGTGTAGTTATACCTGAGAGTGGTCATTTTTCTAACTGCCGTCATTAATTTTTGCCATTCTATTCTGCTGTAATGTCGGTGTGAGAAGGTTAATTTTAACACCCAAAAACATTTCATTTTAAACTGTTCAATAATTCAGACATTTAAATTGACAAAAAGTTTCAATCTAAATTAATAAAAATATAATATTTAAATCTTTGTTCATTTTCTTCTCTAAAAAATATTCCAATTTACTGTTGTAATCTGTAATTCGCACATGAAGACTCACAATAAATACTGATTTTCAACCACTTTTCACAAAACTGAGCACGCAGGTTACTTAATTTGCAAGGAATCATGAGTGCGTGTCTGTGTTTGATAAAATGTTGCACACCTATCATACTCGTTTCATCTGAGCATGCATATTTAAATACAAACTTTTTAACAGTAAGCTTTCATGAAATAATCAAAACCAAGATGGTATCACGAGAATATTTCAATTAATGCTTGAAATTAAAGAAAAAAAAATGTTTTTATCGATGTTGAGTTATTAAATTTTTATCCACAACAAACACTGCTGTAAATATACTTTCCAATACCTGTGAATTTTCAATTTAAATTTGGCATCTATCCAGCCATCTGGTTTTTCTTTGTAAATTTAATCTTCCAATCTCTCAGCCCAATCTTTCAATAAAGCGATTTCATCAGTGAAGAAAATCGACAATTTAGTCTGTGATTAAATCAATGCTTTTGTTGCTAAAAGAGGACCACCTTTGAAAAACTACGATAGACGCAGATAAAGATAAGAAAGTCAATTGGACAAAAAAACGAAGCTAGATCTAGTCTTTATAAGTTGCTCGCTGTGTTTTCCTAGCCGAGAGTTATTTCACGGCGAGCGATTTTTCTTTCTTCTTCCTTGCGTCATGTTTGTATGTTATTGCAAGTCTCATTCTCTCACGCTGATATGACTTTATGTTTCAATAAAACAGCAGGCGGCTTCAAAAGAAGAAAGGAAATGTGTTTCAAATAGAGCAATAAAATGCCACAGCACGAATCGAAATTCGTCTCGTTATGGTTGTTTTGGCGCACATATTGCGGCAAGGGGAGCGTTTTGCCGTGATGATGCTGGTGGATTCGCGAATGGGCACGGAAAGAGAGGCAATATCATCTCGCCGTTAGATCAAAGAGTGACCCAAGCGGGGAGCAAACTCGAGCTCTCTCGTTCCCTCTCGTACACACTCACATATACACGCCGCCTGAATTTTTTACAAGCTCCACTCTGCGAATCGGAAAATCCATAACACCAGAAGGATCCGCCGTCTACGAGACGAGCCCTGCGCATCTATTTATATTAACGATTCGCCTCTCCTGTTTCCCTTTGATCAGAAAAAAAACTGGCAACTCGCTGAATTCTAATAACCGTTACAAACAAAAACGCCACGGAATCACCAATGAGTATTGCGCCCTAGTTACATTTTAAATTTTTCTCTCTCTTAAGACGTGCACTCTCGTGTTTCAGACTTTTATTGGATTGGTTTCTAGCTATCAAATGAGCAGAGGGAAGCGACTTTTCAAGCCGTCGGGAACTGGGTTATGGGCGAATGACGAGATTGAATTTAATATGTAGTTTAATCCCTGGGCAATGGGAACACTTTGCGAAAAGGAACGTCAGCAGTAAATCAAACACGAAACTTCCCTTCACTTAGGGCCCTTAGGAGAAAAGGAGTCGCAAATGGAAGCTTTCAAACGTATGCAGCCGGCATGACTTGTGCGTTACGCAGGCTGCATTGTAGTTGAATATACCGGAGGACTTGTTTTTATGCGACGGTAAAATTTGCCAAAAAATCAACGTAACAGTGACACTTATTGTCGCTGTTGAACGAGCAACAAAGCACACCAAATTGTATACTAAGCCTTGGATATTATTTTTTACACTCTTTGTTATAATAAATTGATGAAAATTTTCAAAATAACTGGTGAAAACTTTTGAATAAAAAAAAATGTATAATTGTTTTTATTCATGTAAAAACGAGTCAAAAAAATTAAATTTATAAAAGTAATTATTCATTCTTACCCATTGAGGCATTTCATGAATATCGGCTGTACGGTGGTGGTAATTGAGAACCACTACAGTGAGCACCACGGAAGAGGCCACCATGAACATGATGCAGTTGAAGTAGGTGCCTGAAAAGGAGGTGAAAACACTTTGCTCAGCAATATTTATACAGTGCGGTTGGTCCTGGTTGGTGCCAAGAAGTGAGATATATACAAAACACATTATATTCACTCGCGTTTGTTTGCATGCAACTGCTTGGTCAGCCACAAGGTCTGCTCCCCTGATGCTTATTCTTTCCGCAAGTTATATGTATTGAACATCAAGCACTCACTCGCTCAGTCACGCACATTGATTGAGACCACAGTGACAAGCATTCCGAAATATATACGGCAAGAAATAAGTACTTAGTTTTCTCCAAGTTGGTCATTTTAGATAATAATGTGTGTGACGCATCATCACTTACTGAGAAATTTCAAATCCAAAAACTCTACGTGCTACTTAAAAAACGAAACGAATTGAAAACTGGGTTTTACATTCTGGGTTCAAGGTGAAGAAGGGTTTGTTGATTTCAAATTTTTAGGGTTTAGGTGCGTGCAGATCATTTTTTTTCTACTCAAGGATTTTGGATGTTCTACCTATATTTTGTGTGTGTAGTATAAAGAAAATTAAAGTACAAAGAATTTACAACAGTACTTTTAAATAGGAGAATGTGTAAAATTCAAAACTAAACTAGTCACAGAAGAACGGACAGAAAACAAATTTTTGAGTATATTTTTATAAGTGTTAGTGACGACAGTTATTTTACATTAATTGTAAGTTAGAAAACGTTTGATGCATGCAGATACTTTTATTTTGTGATTTATTGCTGTTTAAAGGTGGACGGATTTGACAAGTTTGCTCAGCTGGTGCAGGTCAGCTGAAACTCCATCAGAAATTATTCACTTTTATCAAGGCGCTAGTCTAGTTCTTAAGCTACTTTCAATTTTGTTTTCAAGTTTATTTATGATTGGAAAAAAATGAGTTAAAGGAACGGAAGTTCCTGAAGCATTTTTTTTTTTTTTTTTTTTTTTTAATATTTTAAAGCAATTTAAAGTTGCATACTTTTTAATTATTTAAGTTTAGTCAAACTGATACTTGGAGGTGAGAGATTGTTTTAAAATTCGATTAGGATGATTGATTTGCACAAACACACAGAGATATTAACCAAACACAAATTATTAATTTACCCTCCGAGAATTAAATTTTATTAGCATGTACAAACACACACAAACACAAGCGAACCCGAGCGAGCGATCGTCGCGGGTCCAGCAGGTTCGGGGCAGATTGGGTTTGTTCAAACAAAAAGTTAATTAAATGTGCTTGCAGGCAGCGGTAAGTTTCTTTTGTGCGGCGGCGCCGTCCTTATAAACCAGGCAAAATGCACGGAACAAAAGGTGCGCAGTGAGAGAGAGAGAGAGAAATCTCGAATTCGCTTGCACAGAGAGTAAGAAAGGGGACAAGTTTTGAATACTCAATATGCCCCAAAACTAATTTGGTGTGTTCTGAGCTCTCCCCATGTCTTCATAATTAGAGAGAGCGCAGGTAGAGAGGTGAAAGAGAGACAGAGAGAGTGGAGTAGTATTGTAGATCAAATATATGCGTACAAATTAACTTTTATTTTAGCAATAATTTGGAACAAAGGCTTGCATAGTATAATGTACGCTTCACCATTGAAACTGGAGGGAATTGTCAAGGCAGTATGATAATAGTGTATTATTATGAAAACGAACGAACGAACGCATGAGGGCATGCAGAGAGCTGTACTGTACGTGTTCAACTCGTGGATGGATGTACTTTTGGATCGAAATCATTCCAACGGCCTGCGCGAGAGTAAGTCATCCCGAGGAAGGACATCGCACACTTGCACCTATGGGTGGGTTAAATTTGGAAGCGGCCCAATACAAAGCGGCATTTATTTTCACGCAAAATTTTCCACGGTTGGTTGGGGTTAATGTACACGTGCGGCGGAAAATTTTGCCTCCACAATCATCGTCGAGACGCATGCAAAACTTTTGGTATAAATCGGGTGGGTGGGTGGGTTGGAGTAATTAAATCGGTGGTGTAGGAGAAATAAAAACTGTGTGGGAATATGAGAGGGTATTTTTGTTTCTGGGAGATTAAAGAGCTTTCGCTGGCGGACCGGGCGATTAAAAACAATTGCAGAGAGTGAATCGTTATTGCTGCTAAAATCTAATTTGTTCGTCTATATTATTTAAAAACCAAAAAACAGTCGTTTGTATATGGACATAAGTTTTGATTTCAAGCGTTTTAGTTAGTTTAGTTTTGTTACATTCACGTTATTTTAGCACTTTATCAGTTTAGTGTTGAGTTAAGGCGCATTATTTAGTCAGCCGTATGCGGTTATCGTCCATGCAGTTAAGAGAAACCAGAGTTTTCAGTATGGCAATAATAATAATAATAATATAACAGGTAATGATAAGTGGTTGCATATTTTTGGATGTCAACCAAAAACGAGAATATGTTTTGTTTAGATATCATTATCCCAACTGTGAGAGCCTACAACTGAGACGCAAAATAAAATAATGTGAGTCAAACAATGCTTTTTTGTTCTAACCTATAAGGGGTACAGCGTCGGAGGTCTGGGGTAACAGCTCTGCCACCAAGAGGGAGAATACTGTCAAAGACAGCAGGATTGTAACACCTGAAACAAAAGCATACAACGCTCGCCAACTAAGCATAAAAAGAAGGGGTTGGTTTGAATGCGCCACGTTTTATACGACTGTGCTGCTGTGGGTACGCACAAGTTGTTTATTGCACGGAGTTACCTTGGTGTGTCCCTTCTTGAGAGAATTACGACTGATATGAAATATCAAATGTTTGTTGAGTTAAGTGAGTCTAATTGATAATGAGAAATATCAATGCAGCTTTTTTTATTTCGCTGGAAAGCAGTTATTTAAATTAAAAGTTTTTTTTGGTTATTTGGGTTGAGGTTTAGTAGTTGTTTTTGGATTCTTTAGTCAGATGATGTTGAGAGACAATTAAAGAGAGACGGAGAGAAACAAATTTTTGGAACAGAAGGGCAGGCGGTTTTTTATATTCAACACAGAGAGAAACCGAAAAGAGAGGCATAACGTAAATGATGATAAGTAATAAAAGCTCCCCTCCAACCACTACGAGCCCAAACACCACCACATCCACACAAACACATCTTTACGAAAAGTTGAATAAATGCTCGAAATATATATTTATGAAAAATGCATCCTGCGCCCCGCGACTCCTGAGGGTGTGCTGCCTGCTAAAATATTTAAGAGGAGAGAGAAGAAAAAGAGAGAAAGAGTGTGAAAAAGAGTAGAGAGAGAGATATATAGCGAGAAAGGTAAAAGAAAAACACCTACAACCAGCAAAACACCGAGAGTGAAAATGAAAAACGTTCACAGAATAATATGGAAAGCTCCTTGAAAATGGATCTCAACTCGAAACAAAAAGAAGAATATAGTGATAGGATTCGCTACCTAACAAGGGTATGGCATCGGAGACTTGGGGTAGTGTCTCAGCTACCAGATTCAAGAACACAGTCAGCGAAAGTAAGATGGTGACTCCTGAAACAAATTTGTAAAATTCAATCTATTTGGAGCAATTCTGTAGCGAAAAACCCTCATGAATTCCAATTAATTAATCAGGTGCGGAGAGAGAGGTGTATCTTTTTTATATACGAACTCTGAAATATATAATATAACAGGCGCAAAGAGCGTTTCTCTTTTAATCATCTCGTGTTTTGCAATATAACAGGGTGGAGAAATTCACACTTGCACTTTTCATTCACCACAGACGCATTTACACCTACTCAAGCAAAGAATGTAGAGGCAACAAAATAAAACTTACATAGAGGGGGATGACAGAATTGTATAATACTTTTGTGATGGATCCCGTCTGGTTTTGTGCCTTGATTTAGACTGTAAAGCTACATAATGGTTTTGTTTCATGGTTTTGTAAATGTTTAGAATTTTGGTGGTTAATTTAGGGGGATGAGGAGTTTAAATAGGCCTAATTTAGTTGAATATCCAAACTGAAAATAATATTTATAAATTATATAAAATCTCTAGTCGTTTTCTTTTTCTTCGTACTATCACCTTTTTCCATCAACCTAATCGCATTTTTTTTATTGATATATCCTCCAAGTATCTCAAATTGTAATCGAGAAAGCCGTCCACCTTTAAATGTCTATTACATTTTTCTCTAGTGTAGCTAGACATTTTTCCTGCTTTTTTACCTATCAAAGGAACAGCATCAGATGTGGACGGCATCTTTTCAGCAACTAAGTTGAGAAAAACAGTTAAAGAAAGAAGTATGGTGACCCCTGTAATCAGAAGCAAGCACACAGAGCTCAGTCTAATTTGCTTGAAAGCTGGATTGTTTTGTTCTTTCGTAAAATTTTAATGATGCATAATATAAAGAATTGAGAATGTGAGAGTGATCCAAAGAGAATAATTCTAAATCCCTCAAATTACACAAACAAAAGCTATAATTGAGGAATTGCATGAATCGAGTCAATTCAACGCCATGCCTTCTATATTGATATATACGCAGGTCCCAAATACAACCCGGTTTTGCCATGTATATATAATATTTTTTTATGTTCCACGAATTGAAAAGAGATTTTTGTTTCCGATTCACATGCGTGACTGCGAATTCCAGCCATTCATTGAAATTTTCCGCCACCACTGAATGGACGAGTGCGAGAGAGAGAGAGAAAGAGGCTTTTGAAAACCGGGCAAAGTGGTGAACCCTGCTGATTAATTCAATACTCAACGATTTGCACTGCGCGCCGCCTAAACTTGCAAAGCGCCGTTTCAATATAAAAGCCATTGTTCCGCGCAAAATACATATTTGCACTCCGATAAAGAGCTCAAAACGCGCGCGGCGATCTCTCTTTTGTGCCGCTAATGGAAAGCTGCAAATTTTGTGCACCGAACCGGCAAAGCAAACACATATTATTCGCGGTGGCGGCGGGCATCCCGAAACTGCTCGGCGCTCTGCAGTCTGCAGTTTGCAAAACTATGGTTCATACTGGATGCAGATGGATTGCAGATAAAACGCTGCAATCGCGCAAAAATACAAGGCAATTATGAAAATCTCCGTCCAACAGATTCAATTTGTTTGATGTACATACCTTTGAAGTCTGATAAATGGAGCATGCATTCAAAGCGAAATATATATAATATGCAGGCATTCAAATGCGCTCTATCAAATAATAAGGCTCTCTACTATGGATCGTGTGTAATTTCTGGATATATAATATGGTACAATATTCTCAGTTTGTAATAACTATAATGTTGGAAATGTACCGGTCCTCGTGCCTTTAGTGGCTTGTGAAGGAACTTCTTCAGCTCGGTCAGTATCCACAAGGGCGGGCATATTATGTGCTCAAATGAAAGTTGGAGTAGGAAACAGAAAATGGATAGAGCATTCGCAAATAATGAGCAAACATATACAGACCGATAAAAGAGGAGAGAGCACACGAAAGCGTGTCTGAAGACGATCGAGTGCCAGTAAGGCCCCTTTTATCGCCGCATAAAAGAAGCAGAATTCGAATAAATATATTTGCTGTGATTTTCATTCAAGAAGAAAAAAGGGGTATAGTAAAAGACGAGAGAGAGAGAGAGTAATCAAAAGAGTGATGTATTGCAAGACAGTGCAGTTGAATGCGAGAGAAAGTCAGTCAGTCTCAAAGTTACTCATAATCAAAAAATCAGCGAGCCTCAATCATAAAATTGAGATTAAAAACTGTTACGTGGAAAAAAGGTGGTTGTTATTACCATTTCCTGATCACAGCTAATTAAGTCTCGTTGCCTCCACAAACTTGAGTTGCTGAAGAACGATTCAAACGTCACTAAATTGCCACGAAAGCAGCAAGAGTAGCATCAATAGTGTAGTAGAGTAGACAGAAATGTTCGCAATTCCAGCTCTCAAATATCTGTTTTGACGTACAGTGTACTTCACTTCAGAATTTCAGTAAAAAAAACGTAGATAATTTTTAAAAATAAATCTAGCTTTGGAGGATGTGGGATGGGGGTTGGGATTAGCATGCACGCCGAGGCAAATATCGACAACATCGACCCATAGACAGGTGCAGTTACAGCTTTTTTTGTCATTTCAAGAACAAAACAAGTAGCCCACAGTAGGTTTAGTTCGAAAAACGAAAAGGACAATACACAGGGCTCAAAAGTTTTGAGCCGTCATCTTTTTCTGCCACTGCTTCACAACTAGAGAACAGAGAGTAAACTGATTTTGCTTTGACCTAAAACACGCACTGATATATTTATGATTATTAAAGATTTTAAAGCTGATGGTTTTTCTTGAACAAAAAAATTATTATAAACGTAAGGGTTTCTCATATAGATTTCTTTAGTTCTTTTTCTCGGATAGGAGGATTGTGTGGGAAATAGGGCGTTTGTTTTACCTAGGGTGAGCTTCTCCCCAGACTCAGGCGGCAGTGTGAAGCCCAGCAGGGCCATCGACGAGATGAGCACGCACGGCACGATCAGGTTGAAGAAATAGTAGAGGGTGCGTCTGCGGATCTGGATGGTGAAGGTGATGTCGACGTACGGCTCTGGGCAGCATTGGTACACGATCGTGTTCTTCTTGCCCGGCATCGCTGCAATTAAAGACACGCCGGCATGTGTGTGAGCCGAATTCAAGATGGGCCCTTGCGGCAACACAAAAGCTAAACGAAAGCGCAGTAATTCGATCGCCGGGCTTTTATTATTGCTCGTGATCGCTCCGTTCATAAATTAGTCGATTTTTATTTTGCCACGCTTTTTGAATTATTATTTAGAGGGAACAGGAACGAAATCCTTTTGCCTCTTGGATTTGAGGTAAACGGATAGCGCGCGGCAATTTTCCTCATAAGGCCCTTTGGCAAATTGAGATTTGACGCAGGAGAATAAGAGGAAAATGATCCGTTGTATTATATGTCGGCAGTGCTCTTTCCGTTGGGACCATCCGAGAAGTTTTTTTCCCTCTATATACGGTTCCACAGAAAACACTAAGAATTTCTCATTTGGGGCAAGGCTCACATTTAAAGGTCACAGGGCAAATTGTATGATTAATTTTAGCAAGGACATGATGTGGGTATTATTAATGTTATTTTTTTTACGAATCATTTTTGTATCAAAATGTTTTTAAAGAAAGTAAATAAATTAATAAAAATATATTAAGTTGTAAGAAAGACAGTATTTTACAAAAAGCGTGACGAGAACATTCTGAGCGTAAAGAATATTTTATAAAATAGTCCGGATTTAAAAAGAGAAATTCTCTTCAAGAGTATCTTTGAATATCAAAGCGCCAATATAAACATTTTCATCATCTCAAATTTTATATTTTCCCACAGATTCCTTTTGTCAATAAAATTATTGCGAATTTGTAACTTGAAACATGGAAATATCCAAGACTTTTTTTTATTGAAATGTACAACTAAACTCACTAATCATAATTCATTTTTACTTATAATTATAATTTTGTTCTGCTGGACTAAAGCATAGTGCAGACTACCATTTTATTGTTTTTTTTTTTAATTTAGTTTTGCATGTTGTCCTCCTGATATAAATGAGCCTGCAAATTTCTTGCTCAATTAATTTAAAAATTCAGTTTAGAATAGGAATTAATTGAAAATGGAAATAATTATTTTCATAAGATGTTTGTTGTGAGGTTTGCAGGAACTGACATTCCAATTTAATTCAATTTGGAGGAAATAAATGTAACTAGAGTAAATTAATATTAATACTCACCTATAAGATGCCACTCGCCGTTGGTGATAAAATCGGACAAGTCACCGCCATCTTCTGATTTAAGCACTAGGTCAAGCTGTTGAAAGAGTTAAAGCATTGAGTTTGCACGGGCTCGGAATCTCTGCATTGCTGAGAGGTGACCTCGCGCGCCACTCATTCACGAAAAATACGTATTAGATTATACTGCATTAATGCAACACCAATCACAGAGAGAAAACGAGAGGGATGCATCAATAATTAAGTATGAGCAAACAGGAAGGCGAGTCGTTAATCCGCAAAATTGTGTTTACTTAATGGCATGCTGCAATATGATAGCTCCGAGTGAGCTTAATGGATAGGCAAACAGACAAAAAAAACTACACAGAGAGAAAGAGAGCCGGCGGCGTGTGAAATTGTAGCAAATCCGGCGGCAAAAGAGAAGAAATGAATGGGAAAAATAAAGCGGTCGGTCGATGAGAGATGCAGGCAAATTAGCAATTCGCCAACAAATTACTACTCATACTCAACCGTGAAATCCACAACAGAGTGCAGATGCAAACGCATGCATTTATATACTTGTTGAATCAAAAACCAACACCGAATCTTCTTTATAGGCTAGAAGAATGTAGTTTTCTCGTAAACACTTAGTGAAAAGTATACACAAAACGACATTTTGAGAACTAAACGAGAGTATTTAATACAGTATAATATGTTTTTAATGGAGGAGACGTAGTATAATATGTATGGACAGTTGTGATAAATATATCAATGGAGTATCGTTTCGCCGAGGAAGTCTTGACAGTGTGGAAAAGTGGCTGATTAGAGCGCTCAACAAATACTCCAGCAGTGTGCTCCATCACTCGGGTGTCAAAGGGTTGGTCACAGAAAAGCGCCAAATTGACAGCGCTTTCAAAGGAGAGAGGACTTATGTGTATCAAATCTTGGCGGACGGATCGATTTCTTCCCCATACCCGCCGAGTGTGTGCGCAACGTCCACTCGGTTCGCAGCAGATATGTCATTCGGAAGTGAGCCATATTTCATATTGGGATAATAAAGACGTCTGCTGGGCTTAGGCGTGTTCTTCGCACTTGGGATCATCTTGAGCAATATTTCAATCATTGGAACGAGAAAGGTATAAGAAAATTTTTCTCTCAAAAAGTTATTTCCTCAAAAAAAAAAAGATGAATTTAAGATAACTATTGATTATTATTTATTCTTCTCAGACGATACAGAAAAGATTTGAAATTTGAAAAAGAGAAGAAAGGGTTTATATCTGCTAAAACGCCCAATATCAAATTATGATAATTCTAGTATTCAAAAAGTGATGCGGTGATTTCCGTTTGAAAATTGAAATTAGCAACATTAGATTTAAAAATGACAAATGACTAATTATTTTAGATCAACAGAGACAATATCTTTATTGAAATTGAAACGAAAATAAATTAATATTAAATCCAGACCAGATTATTTGTTTAATTTCAGGGCAGCTGAATAAATTATAGCAAAAAAAAGTATATTGAAAATGTGACAACGGATTTGTCAACAAAGTGATTTGCGATAGAAATTGTCATGCGCGGGCTTTTTCTATCTAGAAAAATCGCTGACCAAGATAATCCGCCGGAAAACAGCTCTCCGCATTTTCCGCAAACGACAGATAGAATATGCAACCGGTTCGGCAGCTACAACCGCTCAGCTCATTGCCCATATCAATTTTTCATAAACTTGTCATGCAAAGCTGCCACGCACCAGTCTCTGCGCAAAAACAGACGCGTGCAGCCCCCAGAGCCCCGTCCAATATATAAAAAATAAATCTTCTACCGCATCACTCACGGCCGCCCGCTAATTCAATGAAGCCGCAGCTTTCAATTAGCCGGGCGTTTCAAAGCCATAAATTCAATAAATCGGCAAAGTTTTGCCTCGAAAAAAGAACTTTTACACCGGAACGCCATTCAAACTATCAGTTTTCGATTTGCGAAAAGAAACTTTTGCCCGTGGATGTATACAAAGGATTAAACACGTCGCTTCCGTCGCAATTAAATGGAAAACAGCAGGAAACGCGAGACGCGCGATTTATGTGTGTATAAAAGTGCTGGTGCAAGTTTTTTGCCGTAAAAATAGGTCACAAGGAAGGAAAAAGTACTTTTCCGCCGCCAAGTTTGACGCTCACGCGGTTGGTCCCGCCATAAATTCATCTATCGACGGGCGAGGAGGGTAGGAGAGGAGGTCGCGACGGGGTCGCTCGGGTCGGATGGCAACAACTGATGGAGTCAGATGGAGAGCAGCTTCCAAATGAATTTGGCATCATGCAAAATGGGCTGTGCGCTTCCTGTTTTTGTTGACGTCGATTGACGTTATCAAGTGCTCGAAATTGGTTTCCCAGTGATGAGTTTCGCGTGCAATTTGCACACTCTCTCACTCAGTGATAGAAAATGGAGTGACTCTCTCTTTTGTACCATTTACTTTCGTGTATCGCGTGTGTTTATATGCTCGAATTATTATTTATTGGAATTTATAATGGTTTACGATTGCGTGTATGAATTTGTGAATAAAGAGACCGTGTGAGAGTTTATGCACAGAGAAGTACATAAGTTTTCTACTAGAATATATACGCTTGGCAACATGCAGTTAGGTTGTGCGTTTATCATTTATTAAAATGAGTTTTATACATGGTTTAGCGCGGCTTTACGTGAGTTTATCTTAGTGCAAGTGCCTCTCTTCTCTCGCTCGCTCTTTGTCCAGAGATCCGCGGCAGGCTAGGCTAAGGGCAAATGCACTTGTGGTTAGATTAGACGGCTCGTTATTTAGGGGTTTAACAACAACTTTGCAGTTGTTGTCGCGTTCTGCGGTTTATTTAGAAACGGCCAGAGACCATACACGCCTGGCCGCCGTTTATATGAATTGAGTAATTTTAGTCCCGGCGTTTGTTTGTTGTTTGCTCCAGGCCGAGGGTATTAAGCAGGTCAGAAAAAATGTGCTGCTGCGTGCGTATGACACGTGCCATAAATTCGTTCCACCCGAAATTCAATTTGTGTTAAATGAGCTGCACTGAGTTTTGCTAAAGAGAATGAATCGTTGTTTTTAACTGTACTTGTTTAAAAGTAAATTATTAATAAAAATTTATTCTTCAAAGTAGACAAACAAATTTTTCAATGGTAATTTATAAATGAAATTTTCCCCGGTTTCTCGTTCCAGGATGAAAATCTCTATTTAGAGGATGATAATTTAATGCAGCAAAATCTCTCTGACCTAATAGCCCGCCGCTAATGACCGCAGCAATTTATATAATTTACTCGGTGATTTAGGTTTTTGGCAAGCATTTTTAATTAGCGACGATGAACACTATGTGGATACAATTAAATGCATTTAACGACCATGCTGCTGTGTTACTTTTTATTTAACGTCACTGCCTTAATTAATTAAGTCGAGGGCAACTACTCCTCTTATTTATGCTCGTTTTAGTTCAAATGTAATCTTGCGCTTAGAGATTACCAATCTGGTTGTGTTATTTAGACTTGCTGATGAGAGCTCTTTATTTAAACTGCGCTTTTTATTTAGAAAGAATGCTATGGTGGATATAACAGTGAACGACCACGTTTAACATCCAAGGCAAAACACACGTATATGTATATTTAGTGGGGCAGGGCGCGACGAGTTAATTTGGTTTATATTGCGCGAGGGGAGCGGCGTCGGTCGGGGATACTGCTCAGCAAAATGATATGCAAGAAGAGTATGTCCATTTGGTTTCACACTTTATATTTATAATTAAGTGAACGGGACCCAGTTACTGAGTTTAAGTACCTGATTTCCATCATAGGTCCAGCTACCAAACTTCATATCACAATGTTGGTCATCAAAGGGGAACCAAGTAATGTCTATCTTGCATGTGCTCTTGAAGATGCCCGGAGGTACGTACAAGCAGCTACCGTTATTCCTGACCACCACATTAGTGTGGTATGTCCCGTCGAAACCCTCATCCGCACTTGATAGGCAATTATCAAAATGTCAGACTCAAATGCAACGAAAAAATCTTTTGACAACATCAAGTATTATGAAAAAATATTTGAATAAAGATAGATGTATAAGTTACTATTGGAATTTTATGGTTGCCAGATCGTTTAAGTTAATTTATAAACATCTAATTTTTATTATAATGAAAATTATTTAAGCCAGAAGTGATTTTGATTTTACTTCCCCAAAGAATAACTGAGAGATGAAGCCTAAAAATGTGCTGTCTATATTATTTAGAATAAACAAAACATGCACAGTTTATAAGGCTAAAGCCCAAAGCTTTTTCTGTCTAAATCTTCCGGCAAAACGATTGATTTAATTATAGAGTTTATTTACAAGAGGAGAAGAAGGAGATTTTATAGTCTGGCATGTAGTATGAAATTTTTAGTTTTGTCCGTGACTTTTTTAAACAAAAATTGGTTTAGAAAAATTGGGGGCGGTTGGTTTAGTTTGAGAGTTAGACACCATCTGTGTGCGGGCAAAGTGGTCATCGGAGCACGAATCGTACTCTGCCACCACGCTGATGGTGCGACAACATTTTGTTTTATATTGAAGTGGTCATTTAACAGTTGATTCCTGTGCTATACACTCCGGGTTTGCGGGGGTCGTCGGTTTTGAAATGTTTATAAGGCCAGGCCAGGTTAGCTGATTTATGTGCAAGGGGCGGAAAATAAAACAAAAGTACGGCCTGCCTGTGGCAAAATAAATTTTATGAAGGAGCCTGACGTTTTACGACTGGGCTGGTTGGTATGGGATGTGCAGCGAAAAATTTATTTGTAAACAAAAGGAAATAACAAAAGGCTGGAATATTGAGGCATTATTTATAAATTTGTGACAAGTAACTAAAATTACTCAATGAAAAAGTAACAAACGATCCGGTACTTGCTCTTCATTTGGTATGCACTCCAGACTTAAAAGCGTTTAGTATATATAAAGAAAATTAAATATAATATGCAAGAATCGAAAAAAGTGAATGTAACTAACTCTTTACAGTCATGTGAGTCGCAATTTATTAAAACTCAATCGTGATAAAATTGAAAAAATGCAATTTGAAAAGATTCACTTGAAAAACCAAGCGGAAAACTGAATTCAGATAAAAATAATGAATAAAATTGGAGAAAAAATTAATTCGATTCTGCACTACTAGATTATGAATATAATAACAGAGTGTGTCTGAATAAATATTAACTTGGGGTGAGAGAGAGATATAGAGCAGAGGGCGTCTCGGCATTCCAGAATTAATCCTCGGCCGCTGCCGAGGGCCCAAAGTTCGGCCTAAGTGGTCATCACTAAAGCAATACTCGTCCCACGAGCTCAGTAACCCGACCCAAACATAAATTAAATCCAAAGTTAAACAGCTCGTGAAGATGTAAATTAACCAGCAGCGGCGTGCGAGCGAGAACGCTGGAATGGCCGCCGACGCCCAGATTTTGCAAACTCGGCTGCGAATTAAATTGAAGCGGGACCACACGGGAGCAGAAAACGAAAACGCGGCCTTTACCTGTTGTACATGAGCACGTCCGGTTTCCACAGCTTGGTCGGAGTAATCCGCAGGTCCTTCACGCCGCCGTACTCGCTCTCGTTCCAGCGCAGATTGTAGTCGTTCCATTCCTGAAAGTTGTTTCACGTTTTACTGCTGTTCGGACAGGAATTGAGATTTTCCTCTCGCGCTTTTTTATTATTATATATTTTTTTCTCACAGAAGGTGAATTTATTTGAAGCACACGCGAGAGGAGAAACGAAATGATTCTTTTTTCTCTCAAGATTGAGAACAGAAAAGTGCACCAGAACACGCAACAATGAAAGCTAACAAGTGTTTGTGGCATGCACAGTTATAGAGAAAATAGTAGAGAGTCGAATGTGAAAGTAATATAGAGGTTACACTAACGGAAAAGAAAGAAAGACGGGGTGAAGAAGAAGTGTTGTGTATGTGTGTGGATTTACTTTTTATCCTACAGCAGGTGACACACACGTCTTGTGGAAGATATATAAAGGGTGCACTTTTTACTCAGAATCGATTTTTAGTGCCATTTAGCCGTCTCGGTTTTTTTATTTAGTCTTCTCTTTGTCATTATTTAGGAGACCGTTCGCTTATTTTATTTAGTGTTAACAATGATTCTTTTTAAGTTTTAAGAGTGCCAAAGACAACATCAATATCGACTAATAAGATTTATTTTCTAATAAGCTCGCCTTTTTAAAATTATTTATTTATCAGAAACTAACCTTTGAGACGAACACACATCAACATTTTATTTTAATTTAAAAAAGCGTTAATATTTTTTTACTTCAAACGCGAGTTACTCAAGAAACCCTTCTAATCTTTACTTGGTTTACTTGGTTCGCCAAACTTTGTGAAAAAATCAACTCGTTTAAAAATAATCACGTCGTTTCTCTTTGATCAGCGAAATTACTGCACTCAAAAACTCGCTCGTCTCGCGGAAAAAAAGATGAAACGAGGTGCCGTTTTAATTAAATTTTCGTGTTGGCGCAGCCTCTGTTTGATGCACTTCTGGTATAATTAGGTTGTAATGAAATCAGCGGCTGGATGAACATCAAATGAAAAAAGAGAGCTAATTCGTACGTAAAAAAGCGCGCTCTGCATTTTTGTTTTTCGGCCGAATGAAATATTTACAGCGGGAGGGGCAGCAATTGCGGCCAGAGCGTGAGGGCAGCCAAAAACCGCGCACATAATCAGCCCTTCAGCGAAAGTGGATTACCGCGCACTGACACTCGCTATCTGCCCACCGAGGGCGAATAATCCGTCTTGCCATTTTGAAAGGGATGAATCGCCCACCACCTGACCCCGGAAGGGCGCCTCCCCAAGGATCTCCCACGAGCGCCTTTTGCGGAAAATTTCGTTGCGGCAAAGTGGGGAGGAAAAGGGATGCATGCTGGAGACGGCTAAACCAGATGTGTAACTAGCGCCTTAAGTTCCTTCCCAGGTGGAAATTAAATCAGAGTGAGAGAGACGGGCTCGGCAGGAAGGGTGGAGAGCACAAAAAGAAGTGAAAGAATCAAACCAAACAGAGAAGACTGACAATGAAAAAGAGATAGATAGAAAAGATTCAGAGTGGAAGTTGAAAAAGTGAAAGTCGATTAGCCAGCCATGATTGAAAATTAATATAAATTAAACTATAACGCGTTTAATAAGCGCAAAGTTTAAGTTCACAAATCTTTAGGTTGTCGGTTCATATATTTAAAAACGCATTGAAATTTATTATTTATTTTATTCTTGTTTTAATTAGTTTGGGTAACTCGCATCTTTATTTAAAATTAGAAATGAATTGGGAAATAATAATTTGAATTAAATGAAATCAAAATGAGGGAATTGGGAATATTACACTCTGGTCTGCTCTGGTCCAAGGAGACTTGTCGCTATAAAAAAAAATCCAAACATTGAATAAAAAGATAGGCAACGACTTGACACGCGTGTCGTGCAGGTTGCATCTTAACACCAATTTGATCAAGTTAGATCCACTTTGTCGCACAAATAGATCTATGAAAATCATTCAGGAATGTTTTTTTTCTTTCAAAGTTTATTTCACATCAAAATGTACAATTTAGATGGATTTTTTTTAGACAAGACTCAACAGACCAGATGTCATTTTTACCCTCTCTCACAATCATAAAAAAGGGGCTTTGGTTCTCGCATTCAAAAAGCAATTTATTTGCGACGCGTTCTCTAATTGCCGTGGTTTAGGGTGAAAATCGGGGCGACGCATTTAGAGGCGAGTGTATAGCGAAATCAATATTAATGTTGACTTTTAGCGACTGCACAGCCTGATGGGTGTGTATGTACATGCGAATATATATATATGTGCATGATTTCGATTTTATTTATTAATTTATTAGTTTTTATATATTTATGAATAAATGTAAATTTCCGAGAGCGTAGTATTTATGTGCAAAAAAGCAGCGCGACGAGCGTTTTACACCCGTCGCTCTCCCTCCCGAGTGGGATTATTAATTATCGATTTAGCAAGCGGCGAATGAATTGAACTGGGGCTGTGAACGCTGCAAATAAATAATGTGTATATATAGACGAGACAGCCCGTATGTCTTTTGATTGAATTCTCACAAACAGGAAAGCGTCCCATCTCTGTCACCGGGGCGGCGCCAATTCGCAAATGGCTGGAAGACCGATAATTTGTGCCGCGCGCGCCAGATGGATTGGTATAGAGAGCTGAGTTTTCAGCTGCGATATCTGCTGGAATGATTAAAAAGCTTGGCGTTTTAATTACACACGCGATCAAATTTTCCCGATTTTTAGTGCTTTTAAAATTTACGACAAAATTAAAAATAAGATAATATATAGAGCATGGCTATGGCTTTTCTTTGAAAGTAGCGTGTGTTTGCAAATACGAATATGAAATTTCAACTACTAGTTCGTGTACTTGACGCAGAAGGGTTGTTCACTTACCAAAGAAAGCCAAATATTTGTGATAAGAAGCTGATTCTTCTCGTCCTATCGTTCAAAACGGACCGAACACAGAGGGAGAATTTAAGGGTGGTTAGTTTCCGTCATCAGAGGCATGCATTACATTTGAATACAAAAGTGAGAGCAAAAATATATAACTCGCGGCCAGCAGGTGTGAAAAATATATAGGTAAGATGATTAGGTTTAATAATATATAAATGTAGCGTGATTTGTGTTGTTCTTTCTTTTTTGCTCTTTCTGCGACACTGCAGCCCACACTTGACCACCACTTTTCAGCATGAAGGATTAGGCAGACCTTTTCCAAAATTAATTATTTACAACAAAAATTTAAGTAAGCAATCTACAGTACATTACTTTGTGAGGTGCTTTTATTTCAATATAATTTTTTTCTGTACATGAAATAAATCACTGGTGATTAATATTTTTTTTCATTTGGAAAAACTTTGCCTGATGGACGATTTGTTATTATTAACACAACATGCGTCAAACAAATAGCATCAGCACCAGCACTCAGCAGCCACCTAAGTGAGTTTTTCTAACTCAACTTACCAAGTTCAGCCACGCATTTGTTGTCAAAATTTGATTTTTCTCGTCCTACAATAAATAGAGAATTGAACGATTAATGAACATCGAGTGAGATTCAAATTTTATGCCGTGTTTTTTTAGTCCTGAGGAAATTGCTGCTTAGTTAAATTTTATATTAGTCGCTGAAAAAGAGGCATCGTCAAATAACACATACATATGAAAAGAACAGAGAAAGAATCAGGATGCGAGGGACTCACCACGTCAATTATCTGTTGCAAGGTGAGTCCGAACTTGACCTCGAGTGGCTCCGACTCGTTGGCCACAGGCCGCTCCAAGGTATTGTAAGCGTTCAGGAGATCATTGAGCAATCGTCGTTCATGGGGTCCTTGCAAAGATTCTGCAACAAAGAAGCAGTGCACGTTTTACGACTCGTCCTAAAATCAGGGAGCTGGAAATCACGACGAGAGTGTCATGCACAAAGTTCTTGCTTGGAATTGCTCATTTTTACGAGGCAAACTTTGAAGTGAAGAGAGAGACTGGCTGAAAGCGAGCATTTTATTTTTCAGCCCTTTTTAGTGTCGCTTGTGCAGCTGAGGAATGAAATGCGAGTGCATGACCCGTGCTAAGGTGCTCAACAGCTGTGCAAAATTAACCCTCTTCGCGTTCCTGCTTTTGCTCCTCACACGGTGAGATTTCTCTTTTATTCAAGCTCGGCGCAGCGAAACATTTCGAGCGTTTCATGTTAAGGACTCCCGACTGCAGTTTTAGAAATTAATACTCGTTTTCTAACCAAACGGTTAAAACTGTTATTTAGGCGATGAAAATTTGTGATTTGCTGATGAATTATCATGTAATTAGAATAAAATGATTGCTGAAATGCACTAATGAAGAATTTTAATTTTTAAATTAAAATTTAACAATTTATCGCCTGATAAGTCATTGATTTAAAAAAAAGATGTATTTTTACTTCAGGTTTTGGTTTTGATAAAAATTTATTTTTTAATTTTTCAGATTTAAATCAATGTGTAATACTTCTTGACCAGCTAGAGCACAATTAGGAAATAATACATATTAATAATATTAAATGTTGAAATTTAATCCTTAACTTCAAAAATAAGCGATTCATTTAAAAACTATACTGAATACTAGTTCATAAAGTTTTAATATTGTAATTAGTTGCGACTATTAAATTTACTATCATTTTAATTATCAGATTCAATAGCACCGTAGCGATTATTCTTTTGTCTCTCAGAGGAAATTAACAAAGAAATTTTTATTCACGAGTACTCTTTCTTGGCTCTTGAATTCTGCCGGAAGCGTAAATAAATATTCCCATTTCCAGACGACCGAGCTTCAGAGCGTTCTTGCCGCAAAACAAGTCAAACATGCGCTTTTCATCGTTGCATGCAAAAGTGTTGTTAGCTCTGCTCGCGGGCTCAAGTTGCCACCCGACTCGAGTTCAAAGGGCGCACACGGCGCAGGCAACAAAAAGACGGCAGTGTATGTTTCTGCAAATGCACCTCTCTTTGACCCATTCCGGGGAAAATGAGAAAAAATGACGAGATCTTTAAACACGAGCTGCTCATTTGAGAGGGAAAACTAAATAAACGCGGGACCTTCTAGAAGCCAAGGAAAATATAATCTGCACCGCTGCAGTAATAAGTAGGTGCATGCGTCCTTGGTCCGTCGTTGCCCTGGCAACTCGAACTGGAGCAAGCGACGGTGTGCATCGTCTGTATTTCAATTTGGCTGCACTCTGCTCTTGCGGGTCATATTTGTATCAAAAACGAGAAGGAGGCTCTTCTCTATCATTCGCTTAATAAAAGTGTCAGTTGCAATCAATTATCATGCTGGCCGCTGCCGCTGCTTCGTCCCGGTTATTGAATTCCTTTTGCCTGTCAAGACCAACAATGCCTGATTTCGCTGCTCTCCTGTCCTCCTTGCCACAGAGATAAGGACGAATCGATATGTTTCGTTTCGTGCTGTTTGCAGAATTGCTTCGGAATGCGTACACGGTCCGCCTGCTCTTGCTAATGGGAAATAATATCACATTTCGGCGTCGAGTACCAATGGGAAAAAGCAGCCCGACTTTCTATCGCTTATGAGACCGGTCTCGTGGCTTTATCTTTTTCGACTTTCTTATCTGATTCATTTTTGAGAGAGAAACGTTTATTGATCTCAATGATTGCAGTGTTATTATGTAACGCTATGTAATCCTACATGGGCGGGGCACAGGAGACATTATTTTTTTAAAACTTTTTTTAGCTTAAAATTTAATCAAAGATGATTTTTTTTCTACAAAAATAAACATATTTTATCATTTTGCAAGCGGGTTAGACAGTAGAAAAGAATTACAGGAAGTGCAAAATGCTTAAAAACTAATTAAGTTTCCAACACGTGGTCAGTTTTTATTGCGTGAATATGAATTAAAAATAAGCAACTACCAACTCATAGTAATTAATTATCAGTGTATATTATCTATTTTATTAACTGAAAATGCAGTTTAAAAAAAAGAAGAAAAGTAAACATGAAGTAAAATTATCATTTAAATTAATAAAAAAATAATACACAAAAATAAGAAAAATTAAATCAATAGGAGTGTTTATCCTAGAATATTATACTATAATTTAGATGCAAATTAGTTATTTGTTGAATTTTATAGCAAAATTTACAGGTTTTTATTACTATTAAAATGAATTCTCCAAGACATAATTTTTAAATAAAAATATAAACAACATTTTAAAATGTAAACAAATTAAAATCTTAATTTTTAACACCAGGAAAATATTTTTAAGTTTTTAACCAACGTAGAGTCTCCAGGGGAATCAATAGTTTCGCAATATCCATCCATCATCTGCCGCTCATTTCGGCGAAAGTGCCTTCGAGAGAACCTTGTCGGGGGCTGAAAATGTATATAATCCCAAATTGAAACTTTATCTGCAAACGACAGAGGACTGCGGAATTCAAGGAGGCATCGACGGTCGCGAGCGGCGCGAAGTGCCAATATCATTTTTGTGATGAGTAAGCTGGCTGCGGATTTATCTAGCTGTGCTGACGACGAGAGTCTCATTTTGATAACTAGGTAACTTTTTATTGCACATCTGCCACCCTCGGCGAGCGCCACCCCCTCCCTGAGAGAGAAACTTGCCGCAAAACCCAGATCTAATGGCCTCTCTCTCCGGCAAAAAGCACAGGCACGAGAAAATCGTTTCGCCCCGAAAATCGTCCGAAACGCAGGGCGCGCTACGCACATATCTGAAAGGGTGCTTATCGGGCGGCGCGTTTGCTGCAGCACCGGAGCCGCCGCCGATGGATGACCTCGTTACACTCTTTTTGCACGGCCGTTGAGCGCACCTGGGCTTTTCGCGTGACGACTTTTTGATTATACGTACATGTATATGCAGCTCGGGCCCCAGCGAGCGAAAAGGCGCCCGGGAATGAAGCGCGGAAAAGCGGCGGCCGGGCCTAACACTTAACAACAGGTTGGCCCGCCGCCGACCATCGCGGGCACACACAGAGACACACAGACAGACACGGATTTTTGCGGCAATTACCTTTCGGCAGGGCCATGTAGAGCAAGGTGGTGAGGACGAGTACGGCCGGAGGTGCCATTGCTCATCGGCGTGTGTGCGGAAGTACAAAAAAGAAAAAACAACATCAGCCCCCTGAGTTGTCCGTCATCGCACTACCGCAGCAGGCCGTGTTGCATCGGGGCAGCGCTCCCAAGCCTTTAACAACTGCTCAGCCCTCCAGTGCTGCTGCTGCAAAGTCACACACACACATACACACTCGCACACATACACACACCGCTCCTTGTGCGACTGTCTTTGTCCCTTGATTGTTGCAGATCAATAATTTCACGCGCACGCATGCGCCGCACCGACGCCACGGCCTCCATTCTGACTTCCACCCTGCGGCTCTCTCGCAGCACCCTGCGAAGGGTGCGCCGTCGCCGCTCTCTCGCTCGCTCGCTCGCTCCCTCGCCCGCCGGCCACCCTGCTTTTGCGAACACGCCCTTTTGTTCGGACAATAATGGGGCCCACTCTCGGGTGTCGGTCTCGCGGTTTTTATCTTTTTATTATTTCTCATGCATGCGTTATGCATGCGCTATTCTTTGTCTTAATTCTGGATCCTTCGAGGGTCGCCAGCCAGCCCGCCCCCCTCCCCCGGTTCGCCAATGAGCACCGCCAGGTTCGCGGAACCGAGCGAGCTTGTTGCGAGGGGCGCGCCGCGCCGCTATCGGCCCGACACCCTACTTTCGCAACTTTTACTTTCGCTCGCGCGCGCACGTGCTCTTCCCATCTGCACCTCCAACTATATACACGTTTGCACCTCTGGTTTTCCGGTTAAATGTGCAAAGTTTTAATGCGTAGAGCATTTTAACAAACAATAAGTGGAAATTGAATTATTAATTGCTTGAGAAATGCAGTTCCAAATATGCACCATGAACTTTTTTATTTAGCAGTTTTAATAAATGATCATCAGAAAAATACACACAGTGAAAAAATGTTTGTTGCATCTTAAAATGCATTCAGAAATTATAGTTTTTATTAGTTTTGTCATTAATGTAGGCAATTTAAAATATACCAAGATTTAAAGATTATGACTCCTGTAAAGAAAATATCTCGTAATTGGAAATTATTTTTTATATTTTTAATACTTTTCCATTGGGTTTACTTTGACTAGGTATCTTTTTCGTCAATATTTTGCAACAATGCTATGATTAATGTCAATGACTGTAATTTGGTAATGTTTTAAGATATTGTATACTATTGTATACATAACGTTACTAGATACAAATATTTTTTTTTGACAAATGATAAAAAAAACTTTTCATCTATTTAGTTTTTTTTATATGAATAAAAAATTCAATAATTCAATGCAATATAAAATAAAACAATTAACATTAATATTTCACTTCATTTGCAGAATAATTTTTTTCTCAATACCAATTTAGCTGAAACTGCACTTGCAGTTACCAATAATGTTGTTTATTATTCTAATTTATTACACTGCATCGCTTACAATCAATGATTACATTAATTAAAATAAGTTATTATCAATTTTGTTTTTATTGCTGACAAAATTAAATCATGAATAATTATAAAAGACCTAAATGTAACTTGCATGATTGAAAAATAAGATTAGAATTGTATAGTATGGTAGATATCTACCTAAAGATGTAATTTAGCAAGTGTTTCTGATAGATTTTTTTGTTAAGCTTAAACATTTATTACATAAAAAAACATAATAAAACTTTCAAGATAATGTTGAAACCGATTAAGTGACAGCCGAAGTGTTGAATTCAAGTTAAATTTTGTTTTTCTGCCCAATCAATGTGTTTTTTCTGGTTTTTCAAGTGTTCAACTAATTTTTTGTAATCAATTGATAATGTAAGTTTCTCTCTCCAAGCTAATGGTTATTGTAAAACTTTCTTGATATGTCGAAGAATGGGGTATAGTTACCCTACTGAGACATCAATAAACACCTTTTTTGCAACTAAAAAACAAATTAAATTGCATAGGTATTGTTTAAAAATATTAAAAAAATATTATAACAGTACAATTTTTGTTTTTATAATTAAATAAAATTATAAAAAATTAAGAAAATGTACATTTTTTTATTCCTACATTTTTTCTTATTGAACTTCATGAAAAATAAAAAAAAAAAGTTACCGACAGATAATTGAAATATTTTTCAAGTACCTATTTTTAATATTAAAATTTTCATTTTCCTAGTTGGCGGTTTCGGTCGAGGAATAATATATTTGCGGCTTATAGCTGATGCTATCAGTGTAAACTTTATGATAATTAAGGGCATACTTTTAACCGCCCACTCGTTTCGCGGATTCGCATAACCCTAGGCATAAAACAAAACTGGAGCAACCATATTCGTTCGAGGGGTGCGTCGGTGAGAGAGGCAGATGGTGCTGGTGCGCGGGCAGGCAGCGAACTTGAAATTTTCGCGCTGAACTTTTGCCACTTTCACCAGATTAATGGTGTGCTCACCTCTTGGGTAGCGCGCGCTGTTCAGCGGCGCCACCACCGGCAGGCACCGCCAGCCGGGCGCACAACGAGCGAGCACTGATTGAAATAATGCTGCAGCCTCTCTGCTCCCTCGCGAGTGCAAATATGCATGCCGCACTCGGACAGATCAATCTCGCCGCCGAATCAATCGGCCGGAAGTGCATTCCGAGCACACACACACATACGTATATTGCATGCATTCGCGGAATTCCGCCCTGAATTAAAGGGTAGTAAAGCGGCACAGCATCCGCCCCAATTCCCGATGTGGAGCACATCCAGGGGCGTGGTGCGTTGCTGCAACTAACACTGCACCCCTTTTATTCTTTCCTCCCGCTGTGTTTACACCGCGCGCGCTCTACGTGTGTGTGCACCATTCTACTTTCGCGTCCCCCTTTCACATTCCCACATACATATTATATATTTATATGTGGATTTTCGCGCGCTCGCCCGACACACATTCTTCTCTGCGTCCGTTTGCATAGGGGAGTGAACAACGGCAACATAAAGACCTTTAAGAGCACCCATAAATTCTGAGCCGCGACTTTCCACACTTTTACACTCAGCCATCCGAATTAGATTAGCAAATGGCTCGTGTGTAATGTGACGGACTAATTGAAATTTTTGAAACGGCAGTTCTGCGCTGGATTTTAATTCTATTCTGTCTAACATGTAAGATTTGTTTCTCCTGCAGGTTTTAATGACGATTTAATAGATTTAATAGAAGTTTTTGTTAAATTTGCAAATATTTAAGTTTATATTGGTGAACCACAAGGCAATCTCTATCCAAATTCAGATTTGAAAAATTTTGTTATATTATCTTGAAGTCCTGGTCTATTTTTATGCTTAAAGATGTATGATGTGCAGTACATAGATATTTGAATTTTTTGTACATTCTTAATTTGACAATTTAAAAATTAGATCTTTTTTCAACTCTAATTAATAGTTATGCCATTAAAATAATTTTTTCAGTATGACAAATAAAAGAAATAATTATTTTAATTTGATTATCAGCTAAAAGATAAATAACTCCGTAAAAAGGATTTTAGTACTGCAATTAAACAATCCAATTTACTTGTCTCTTGAAATGTTATTAATCCTTAAAATTTTGTTAAATGTAAATTGAGTTGTTATAATTATTATGGTGATCTTATACAATCTACCAAATTTGGTTTTATATATAGCCACTAAATAATTTCTTTCAAATTATTAAAACGGAGACAATGACTTTAATTAATTTAAAATTTTTAGAAAGCAACAAAGTAGATTTAAAGAAAAACTGATAATAAATTACTGATTGGAATCTTGGATTTACTTTGACAGAGATTATTGATCAGTTACTGCAATATATGGAATGTTGCTCTGCTTTTTGCAAACAATTAATTATATTATATCTTAAAATTATCTTTTGCGCAGCCAAAACATGGAGACCTGGAAATAGTTTTTTTTCTGTGAAACAAGTTACTTTATGTATAAAAAAAGCCAAAGGAAAAAATTCAAAACATAACAAATCACAACCAAATTTAATCACCTAGTTCAGAAAAATAATTTTTAAGAATAATAAATGTTGAATTTTACCAAGAGCGTAGAAAAAGAGCGCAAATATCTTTGCTTCTAGTGGAATTTTGATCTGTCCTCTTCACCTCCCAGCGCAACTTTTTATTCTGAACAACTTTTCTATTATTGATTATTTTTGTGTAGGACTAAATTTTAAATTTGATATTAAAGTCAATGCCGCAAATCGGCACCGCAAATCGGCGCCGCAAATCGGTGCCGCAAACCGGCACCGCACATCGGCGCCGCACATCGGTGCAGCACATCGGTGCAGCACATCGGTGCAGCACAAGCGCGTTTTTTTTTAATTGAATTTTTTTTTAAATATTAGAAGATTTTCCGCAAAAAAACTACCCCTCCCTCGCACCTCTCAGCAAAAATTTAATATTGCTGGCAACGTGTCATGCGCGTTTAGCATTAAAATTCTTGAGGTGCGACGCCCGTCGAAGGAATTGCGATAAATTACACAGCTCTAATTTGAAACTGCATTTGTGTGCGCGGAAAAAGCTACACATTGTGAGAAATAAATCACATCGAAAGCTCTAATGAAGCGCCGAGAAGACGTACGTGTGGGTGAATGTTGTGGCCGCAGCGTTTTAGTGTCAGGCCATTTCCCCGGCCGGACGGCGCATTTTTCACTGCCCCATCGAGAAAGACGTCAAATATTATTGCTCGGCTGGAAAAATTCGGCGTGACGGTCACGTTCGCTTTTATGGGGCCCACAAGCTGGATCAAAAGCGGCGGCGCCGGCATTTTACAAACATTTTATTGCATAAGCATCTGCGTGTATCGAGAATAGAAGTGCGAAATATCGCGGAATAAATCAAGTTGCGGTCGGAAACCTACAAACAAACAACCTGCTTGCTTTTAATAAAGGAAACTATAATTTCCGCCAGCTTTTAATTGTGTTGCTTTTGAGCAGTTCCCATAGCTCGGGCCGGGTGATTTATAAATTTCAGCCTGGGGTGAAAAAGGACTGCGCCGCACCACCACTTACTTCTTCTTTCCGTTAGCTGCGAAATCGATTCGGTTTCGACTCTGCCTTCCTGGAAAAATGCCTTTGCCCGTCCGACGCCGCCGCCGCCGCCGCCGCCGTTTTATCTCCATTGCGCAAAATTCTTCGTGTCACGGTGAAAAAGTAGTGTTGCTTTATACCGGCAGTTTTTCAATTACATAGCCTCTTTTTCCACGAAGACACCCAGCTATCTCGCACCCAATGCTGTTTCCAAGGGT